TTCATTACATGTTGCATACTGGTAGAATGAGTGGGGGAAAAAAAAAATAGTAGTTGTGTGAATAATTCTTGAAGAGACAAGTAGGTGTTTCTGGTCACAGGTTAGGGTTAGATCAAGGATTGGCATGTAGGCATTTGTATATTTGCATTGTGATGAATGGATTTGCTGGCTATGGGATATAGTTTCTTAGTCTGCTTTATTTGCAGATGATATTGATCCAGTTAAGAAGACCATATTAAGGGTAACTACAGAGGGTCAAGCGAGAGGTGCTTTCAGAATTATATTATGTTAGTATAAATAGGATGAAGACGAAATATGCAAGGGTTTTTGGTAGAATTAGGAATTAAATAAAGAGGTAGAAGATTGTTGAACCTGGAATTATCCAAAAGTGTAAGTTTTGTCGTCAGATTATTCTCATAAGGAGTCTGGGAATGAATCCTACTGTTATCTATTCAGGTCTCCAGACATATTGATCGGGCTGGTTTTAGTACGTCAGGTTTGAAATATTAGGTGCTTGTATTTTTATGGTTATTTCACACTTTCAGAACTAAAGGAAAACTTTATGTTCATATAGTCCTGACAGAACTTTTACCCCCACTTTCAAGTTATTTTATGCAACCCTTTTTTTTCCGTATTTGGGATTAGTTGCGTAAAGACAATGCATTTAACACAACAAATGTGAATAAGATGGTTTGTTCATGTGAAGTTTAAGGACAAGTGATGTAATCCTTGTTGAGGATAATATTAGGGGAGGAGAAGACCAAATTTAACATGGGCTGAGATAGGTGGAAAAGATGTGATAACATGTGGTTTAAATGAGATTAAGATTTTATATAGTGGAATGGCGAAATAAGATTTATGCAGCCAACCCTAAATAGTTTGGAAAAGGTTTTGTTGAGCAGAATTGAGAACAATATATAATATGAAAAGATAATGCTTTTTTTTTTTTGATAAGTAATAATAACATTAAAAAAGGCGTTCAAAAGGGGAACGCCTCCCAATTACAAAAGTGGAACCGGGACTAAGGCCCTAAAGAATCCAAGAGAGTAATTAAATCATCAGAAGAAGAACAAAAGCTCCTCTTCACATAATTGAAAAGAGAACGAAGAATGTAAAGTTTGACTATTGCCGTAGGTGACTCTTTCCCTTCAAACATTATGCTATTTCTCTCTTTCCAAATGCACCACCATACACAATGTGGTATAATTCTCCAGAAATCGCGAACGTCTCTTCTCACTCGACATCCTCTCAAAACATGAATTAATTCCTTGGTAGATCGTAGCATAACCCAACACATGCCAAACAACCCAACAATAGGATTCCAACAGTCGTTCGCCACAGGGCAATGCAAAAAGAGGTGATCAACGGACTCCTCATCATCCTTGCATAGACAACACCGATTAACAATACAATTGTCCCTTTTTTCTCAAGTTATCAATTGTTAGAATCTTTCCCCACACAGCGGTCCAGACGAAGAAAGCCACCCTAATTGGAGCCATAGACCGCCAAATAGTTTTTCACGGGAAGTCTCGAATCACAAAATTAGACAAACATAAGAACAAGGATCTAACTTCGAAACGACCGTGGGAAGAAGGAACCCAAATCAAAACGTCATTATCTCTGCCAACGTCCTCCTGCCGATATAGAAGATCTAGAAAAACACATACCTCGTCCATCTCCCAATCTTGAAAATAGCGCCGAAAATGCACATCCCATGTAATTCCGCTGCTAACAAGCCGATAACAGTCAGCTACGTAGACGTGTTTATCAACAGCAATACTGAATAATCTAGGAAATGTATGAGAAAGTGGCTGATCCCCACACCAAAGATCTACCAAAAACCGAATGCGACGACCATCATGGAGTTTGAATCTGATATGAGCAAAAAAAACATCCCATCCCTTCCGAATAGCCTTCCACATCCCTACTCCTCCCACCAAGGTAACTAGACGTGTAGACTAACCTCCAGCCTCTTCCTCAAACCGACAAGAGACTAACCTGCACCGTGGACGATGTTTTTCCCTCCCATATCTCCATAACCATTTACCCAGGAGAGCTTGATTAAAAGGAACTAAACGTCTTATACCAAGTCCACCCAATTTCACAGGCTTACAAACTTCCTCCCATCTGACTAGGTGGTACATGAACTCATCGCCCTTTCCTCCCCATAGAAAATCCCTTTGAATTTTTTCAATCCTATCTGCAACGGAACAAGGGATTTGGAACATAGAAAGAAAATAAGTGGGAAGGCTCGATAACGTACTCTTGATAAGAGTAACTTTACCCCCATTTGACAAGTATTGCTTCTTCCATCCTGCCAATCTCTTCGCATATTTGTCAATCACGGAATCTTAACTTCCCACTAACCTTGAAGAGACCCCTAGGGGCAAGCCCAAATAAGGAATAGGGAATGATATGTATAACTAGGTAATGAGAAAGTTTCAATGTTCAAGAATGTTAGTGTAACGGCCCACTCCACCACATGGTATAGCATTGTCCGCTTTGGTCTGAGCCCGCACGTAAAAATAAAATACTATGCTAAAACTATTTTTATTGTTAGTTTTCTAATGCTCAAACTCCAGGGGTACTTATCAAAAAAAAAAAAAAAGTCCAGGGGTGTAGTCCTTTGATGGGTCTTCCTACTCCTCACTGTTGGAGCTAATATTGATGATATTGCTTGATGTAGCTTCCCTCTCCATCATTTTCCTCACGAGGGGAGCTAATTTTTAAATCTCCTTAATTAACACATTAAAACCAACATCAACTTTGAGATGTAACTCAGTGATCATTTGTTCTAACAAAAATAGTGGTGGTGCACTTGGGTCACAATTAATGGAATTATCCCGGATTGCAAGTACCAGCATAGGTTGCTCATTTTGGACTTGTTTGCCTTTGCCACGAGAAGGCTAACCGTTGTCACGTGATGTCATAACTAATCAGTTACAAAAACAAAAATATTAATACAATATTTATATATAAAAATATATATTGCCAAGGACTTTTTCCCCACGCTCTGGTACCACACTCACTTTTTCTCTTTGGGCCCGACCTTACATGGTTTTGCTTTCCGCTTTTACCTTAAAAGACCTCATACCATTCCTACATATATAGCACTTCCCCTTTCCACACCCAGGCGATGTGGGATTGTGCACCTGTAACCTGTCAGCATGGTAGCCTGGTTGTGCTTCGCACCCGCCCACGCGCACACTGCCACAATTTTTGTAATGGCCCACCTCACCACATGGTATGATATTGTCCACTTTGGTCTTGAGTTCGCACGATTTTTCTCTTGGGTTCTACCCCAATAGACCTATATCATTTGGAGATGGCACACCTGCGTATATAGCACTTCACCTTTTCACACCTGGGAAATGTTGGATTGTGCACCTGTAGCTCGCCTATTGTGGTAGCCTGCCGGTGCCTCTCACACTCCCACATAGGTCACCACAATCACCTCCCTTAGGGGCCCAACGTTCCCGTTGGTCACACTTCCAACTAGTCAGGCTCTGATACCATTTGTAATGGCCCACTCCACCACATTGTATGATATTGTCCGCTTTGGGCCCTAGCCCGCATGATTTTGCCTTTAGGTTTTACCCTCAAAAGGCTTCGTACCATTTGGAGATAACACTCCTACATATATAGCATCACGTGACAACGGTCAACCTTGGAAATGTGTATATATATGTATGTATATATATAAATATGGTACTAATATTTTGTTTTTTATAACTGATTAGATATGGCATCACGTGACAACAATCAGCCTTCTCGTGACAAAGACAAATAAGTCCAAAACAAGTGACCTTGGTTGCTAGCTACATTATCTCATTAACTGTGGCCTAAGTGCACCACCACCATTCTTGCTATAACGAATGATCTAGTTACATCTCAAAGGTGATATTGGTTTTAACATGTTATTTGAGGAGATTCAAAAATTAGCTCACCTTACGAGGGAAATGATGGAGATGGAGGTTGTAGTAAGCAATATTATCAATGTTAGCTCTGACAGTAAAGAGGAGGAAAGAGGACTTCACCCTCGGACTTTGAGTAGTAGAAAACGAATAATAAAAATAGTTAAGTTGAGAATTTTATTTTTACGTGCGAGCTTGGGCCTAAAGCGGACATTGTCATAACATGTGGTGGAGTGGGTCGTTACAAATGATATCAGAGTTTGACCTAGCCTAAAGTGTGACAAACGAGAACGTTGGACCCCTTGGGGGGGGGGGGGGTGATTGTGGCAACCTTGTGGGCGGGTGCGAGGCAATGACAGGGTACGAGTGCACAATCCGGTGTGGAATGGGGAAGTGTTATATAATTTGCACACTCCAACTGGTATGAAGCCGTTTGGGGTAAAACTCAAGAGCAAAATCGTGCGGATTCGAACTCAAAGCGGACAATATCATACCATGTGGTGGAGTGGGTTGTTACAGTTGCCTTCCATAAAAAAAAATGTATGAGGATGTTAAGATGAACGCATGACTAAAAGGGAAGGATAGCATCATTTTCATAGTTCAGGTTAAAAACCTATAGGAGATAATATACAATATAAGAGAAATTAACATAGTTTTGTTGTCATGGGCAAGTGAGGCCTTGAAGCTCAAGTTAGTTGAATGTTTAGGTTAAAGACACTATTTTTAGCTAAAAATGCGCTTGGTTGAGGATGATGTTAGAAATATGTTGTGCTAGGAATTTTCTTTGGCCATTTGAGTTCAATATATTTTAAAAGTGTAATTACTCATGCAATAAAAATATATTGCAACTATCTATAATTTTGAAACAAGAAGTCTCTTTAATGTAGTTCAAATTTTCAAATGCAGCAAGCAGATGAGATAGCAAAATTTTGGTTAGAACAATTGGAAAACTGCATTATTTTGGTATATGGTCTATTTTGTTGGTCCCATTACATCTATAAATTTTGGAATAATTGAGGATTATATTGTACACTTGTATTTACTCAAATGGTTGGTTTGGTTTGATTTTCAATTTTATTCATCCAGGCCCTCTGAAGTGATCCATTCCAATAAAGAATACACTGAAGAAGATGTCACAGGCCAGGTGGTTGAAAGGTCTTTCCCCTTGGAGTTGCCAGAGCTTGGTCGATTTGACTTCCCTGGGCTGCGCAGTGATATTGAAGCCATGGAACGTAGCTTCTTCAGTGGCCTTGGCCATTTCTTTGAAGCAGCTGAGGAGATGAAGAATGGTTTTTTCAATGCTTTTGGGGCTCCACAACTATATGATGGAGATTCTTCTTCATCATCGTCTTCTTCTACAAGGCAGGGTATACCAATTGAAGGCAGCCATCCTCCAAGAAACGCCTCTCCTAAACCATGTAATCCTGAGTCTGGACATGTTGATCTTTCTGGATTGGTCAGCGACGTCTAAAGCAAGCCCGTCATGATTGCCTCGATACTGTTCAAATTTTGACCTTAACTACTTCTACTGGCCTGTAATGTGAATATAGCGTACAGATATACATTCTGCTTTTCCTAGGTTTGGAATTTTATTAAACCTTGACTATCAAGATTTATTTCTTTCTATATACCCCGTCATTGCCGTGCTTGTGGTGCAGTTTAAGTCGCTTGTCATTTCATGGTTTTAGCTCCAATTCCAATTGCAATGCGTGTTTGTGGTATGAGAAGTGAATGGGTTTATAATGTTTGCGTTGAATCTTTCCAACCAACTGTATTTTTATCTACACGATGGTCTTTATTTACTTAAATTTGATTAGTCCATTGATGGACCGATGCTCAAAGTCGGAACTCACTTGATTAGTCCTCTAGATAATCTGAGTGGTGAGGAAGGTCCCTTGGCTCTATCAAGATTCACGATGGTGTTTGGGAGTAGTTGTTTAGATGTTTTAATCACGCGTACAAAAGCTCTTATGAAGTGCTTCACGAGACAAAATAGTGTGAACGTGTAAATCATGTTCATGTTATGTACTCGAGAGAATTAGAGAATTGTCTGATGTGCAATTTGTCTAGGTCAGCATTGTGGAAAGTGGCCAAGCCAGTTCGTTGGCTTGTTGACTCAATTGGATTGAGATTTAATTTGGATTTGAGATCATACCATTTTACTGGAATAATTTTGACAAAAATGATGGTAAAATATGAAGTTTTAAGTGCAGCAAATCCCAACCGTTGGTGGGTAATGGTCCATTGATGAATTAATCCCATTTTGAAAGAGGTATGAATTCTTTACCAAAAAAACAAAAGAGCAATTACTGATTGATGACATGCCTTTCTATTATATATTTATTAATTAATTAGACGGAATGGGAGTGGATAGGGTGGTTAGTTCCACTTTGGAAGACTAAGAAAATATTATTGTCCACTTTGGAAGTCTCAAGCACGTTTATGGCGGTGCTGAATCCTTGTTTCGACCATTGCACGCACTTTCCGCGCAAAAGACCAATATACCGACGATTGTGATTGGCTCTAAAGCTTCCCACCCAAACAAAAGATTGGAAAATAATAATAATAATTTAATAGAAAAAAAAAAATGGAAGAGGAAAAGGGAAAGAGATGTTTTTGACTTAATCTCCTAAAAAATTTTGCTCATCATTATTTGGTTTTGTTTTTGGAAAATACATTATGTTACTAGGAAATTAAAGGGGTTCATGATTTGTGATCGAGGACATGTTGTTACATACTCAAAGTTGTATCAAGAGGAATGTAATGAAATAATCCACTATCGTGATGAAAATATACGGATACACAAATTTTAATTATACAATTCATAAATATTGATTTTTAATGAATTATAATTATTTTTGTACAATCATAAAGTTTTAATTTGGTGTAAATTCTCTCACAAATTTAAACCATAAGTTGACTAAATTACCAACCATTTTATAAAATATACAAAAATAAATAATTTTGTAAAATGATCGAAAATGACATTATTAGATGACGCAATAGGTTTCTCTAACAAATTTAAAGATTACATTTACTGAACCATTTTATAAAATATATAAAAATAAATAATTTTGTAAAATGACTGAAAATGACACTATTGGAGGACGCTTGCAATGGACAAGTAAAGATAAATATAGAAAATAAAAGTATAAAAGAAAAGTAAAGATAAAAATAAAAAATAAAAAACGAAAATAAAGTGCAAATTAAAGAAAACAAATTTGCTCCAAACTCTGAAAACTAGTGTAAACTGATACTGTGATTTTTTTTTTTTTTTCATTTTTTTAATTGTGTTTGTACCGAAAAAAATTAAAATAAAGAAAAAAAAATTAGTAGAAAATAGTAAACTGAAATCTCAAAAAATTCAAATCCTTATTTTACAAATTTTCAAAGTTTAAAAAAAAAAAAAAAAAAAAAAAAAAAAAAGAAGGTTTAGAGAGATATATAAAGAAAAAAGTTTTAAAAAAAAGAAAATATAAGGTAATGTGAACATAACATCCTTATATTATGAGATTAGTAGCATATATATATGCTTTGGACATTTTTGAAAGAGTAAAAGGGAAAAATGGGTATTATAACACTAGCACAAAAAGATTAGTGGTGTTTTTTTACACATTTTTTAAATAGGAGCAAAAGTGTTGCGCGAAATATACTTTAGAAGTATTTTTTACACTTGTCCCTTGAAATATGATTTAATACTCGTAATGAGTTTTATTTGAGTATTAAATTAAAGTCGGCAATAAAAACTTAATAATTTAGAGTATTTTCTAAATTAGTAAAGTAAAAATAGACATTAAGATGGAAGAAGTGACAATTTGTTATAGCGCGTTGGCTTTGAAGGAAGCTTGTTAATAATCTAGAAGAACAGTATCGTGTTAGATTTAGCCATTTGGGTGAAGAAAAAGTAAAAGATATACAGTATATAAAAATCAAATCTCACTGGGAGATGATGTATTTGATTGTCACTTCTCGACACACACTAAGACATGGTCCTTGTAAAGTCATTGAATAAAATAAGTAAAGGATTAAATAAAAAGTCATTGATAAAACCGATTTCTTTAAATTCGTTGACTTTTTTAAATATTTGCAAGAGACATTGCCCTAATAAATTAAAATTTTTGTTTCTTATCAGAAGCAAACTCCATCATTTATTACATGAATTTTTTCCGTGGTTGTTCCTTAAAAGAATATCAAATACTAATATTTATAGCTTTCCATATTAAATTTATTAAAGACGGTCAATGACTTTGCTTGTAAGCTTCCAATTTAATTTCCAAAATATTTCTTACCCCAAAATATTTCTAGCTTTCCATATAAAGTTTATTAACAAGTAACAACCGTCCAATGACTTTTTCTTGTAAGCTTCCAATTTGATATTCAACCACTTTGGAGTTCAATTTTGATTCAATATATAATTATTTTACTAAAATGCCCTCTTCACCGGCGTGGCCGGCAACCGGCGTCCCAATTCCAACTGCCACCTAAGTTCTAACTCATCTTTCCCCAGGTGGCTGCCGCCACCTAGACGTTGCGGGTCAACACATAGTGTCTGTATGTATATATTATATATATATATCCTTGCACTTCCCTTTCAATCGAATGTTACTTATGTTTTTTAGTGAAATTAATATACGTAGATAACAAATAGAGAAATTAAGTAGTCAAGGTATGTTTGTCATTTATGTAAAAATAATAATAATAATAAATAAATAAATAAATAAATTATAAGACCAAAAGTATTTATTATTATTATTTTTTTGTAAATATTCAAGGTGTTTTAAATCGTCTAGTTATTTTAAAATTCTTTTAACACTAAACTTCTAACAATTAAAACACTACTATTTATTTTTATTTTTATTAAGTATACCAAATATTTTTGTACTTAATTGTTTTAAACTTCTTCTATTATCAAACTTTTAACAATTAAAATACTATTTTTACATTTAATTGTTTTAAAGTTTTTACTACTAAAATTCTTCTATTATTATATAATAATGTAATAATATTACATACATGCTATAGATAAGCCAATTAAAGTGCGCGCTCACACACACACCCCACAGTTAAACAAAAGACAATACTTAGTTCCTCACCCCTAATGTGGAACAATAATAAGTAGATGCCTTCTTCAATTACTAAATCAAAGATGATAGGGGTACATTCTTACTTATCAAATCAAAGATGATGATTTGATTACTATATCTTATTTAGTAATTAAAATAAAATACTTCAATTTATTATTAATCCACATCAATATGGTAAATCTTGAACACTGAAGATTTAACTATTGTCCACAAACAAAAGCATATCTTAGCAAGCCCTAATTGGCATTCTAACACACACACACACACATCAATTTGCGGGATTTGTTCTGACATCAGTTCTTCTCTACGATTACTTCAATTAATTCCATAATTTTGGATCAATCAGGTTTTACTCTCGGCCTACGATTACTTCAATTAGTTCCATAATTTTGAATCAATCAGGTTTTACTCTCACTCACAATCCCTTTGTATATATAAATAATGTAATTGAGTTCTTCAATTCTCTCTATACATGTCAAAATTTTTACAACATAAAAAAAAATATACCCCCAGGAGTATAGCCAGCGTTAGCAAGGATTCGAAAAGTAAGTTCTTGAGGTTTCGCTTTCGAACCGCACTCTTAATTTGAAAATTGTGTATGTTATGTGAGGCTAATACAAGTGCTCTAAGAAAAAATAAAAATAAAAAAACTATATATATGTTCATTGATTATTTCATGTACCCTAATTTTAGTGTAATAATAATTTTATTTCAAACAATGTAATATTCTATCTTATATTTTTGTGTAAAATATTTGAGTAATTTAGACATCATAAAAACTTATATTTTCTTGATCATTATGTGACCAAGTCTATTCAATTAAATTTTCTATTTAATAGCATATATATATATATATATATATATATATATATAATCTAAATAGCATAAAATCACTAAAACTAATTTTAATAGTGTAAAAATGTGTATTTACTTACATTAGTTGCACGTGTAATTTTATTAATATATACATACATATTATGTCCCTTGACACAATAATAAGATTATTCTTTTCTATTAGTTGGCTGGTCCTTATATATATTATATATAAAAATAAATAAATCAACATCAAATTCTCAATGCCCCGCCAGTTCAAAAATCAAACCATCTTCTATATATGTTAACCTACGCAAAGTCACCATTCGGACTATTATCTTGGAAAATCAAACCTTCTTCTAAATAGTACCTTGGAGTAAGTATGATGTATTTATATAATATATATGTATATATTATTTAACGCGTTTTGAATCTTTCCAACAGAAAAACCTGCCATTTTTATGTCTTTCTGTTCAACTGCGTTTGTATATAGTTGGAGAAGGGGAGATAAAACGATGAGAAAATCAAAACCCTAACCCAAGACCAAGACCAAAACCAAAACCAAAACCAAATTCATTCCAAGGGATAGGTGATATATATAAAGAGAGATCGTAAAAGAAGGTTGATCACTCACACAACTGTTTCTTCTTTTTCTACGCTCATCTTTTTATATTTGGTGCTCTATTGTTGAAGGTTTCTTTCTTTGAATCGTCAATTTCAGTGTACAATTCCCAATATAATAGTTTTCTGGGTGTTGGGTTTTCTTCCGTTGATTTTGGTTTTGATTTTGATTTATAATCATGTTTTGGTTGAGGAATTGAAGGGTTTGGAAGTGTTTTTTTGTAGGTTGTGTTTTGTCTTTTCAACTAACAAGATAAATTTTATTTTCGATTGGAAGAGATTTTACATTAGGGTTTTATTATTTGCTTAATTGGGTTCAATTCTTCTTCGTGGCAATTATTGTGTGCTATAGGGTTTTCTTTGAATTGTTGTTGTCTCTTTTATTAGAAAGAGATTCTAATTTACTTTGTAAATTTTTTTTTTTTTTTGGGTGAATAAATTGGTTTTGTAAAATATTTTCTTAGTATGTGAGGTGTCTATTGATTTTTGCAGAGAGTATAATAGTTCTGTTGATCATGGATGAGAAGGGCCTCATTTGGATGTTATCATTTCAAAAGCTTTACTTCTTTGAGAGGAAAAATCTTCGGTTCTCAACTGTTGTGTCTGAATTTAAATGAAACATTTTAGGACGATTATAGAGCTGATTATAGAGCTGTATTAGATGGGAAACAACTGTGTTGGATCAAATAATTGTGTTGGATCAATCTCAAAGGATGGATTCTTTCAAACGATTTCCAATTCGTTTTGGTGGTCCCGATCATCACATATTAAAACTTATAATCATATGCAAGTTAGTGTTGAAGAACCTTCTGTAGTCAAAGAGCCTGCAGTTCAAAATAAGCCCCCTGAACCAGTGAAGATAGTTAAGGAAGAGACTAAACCACCTCGGCCCACCAAGGCAAAGGCAGAAGAGGTGAAGACAGTTAAGGAAGAGACTAAACCACCACGGCCCACCAAGGCAAAGGCAGAAGAGGTGAAGATAGTTAAGGAAAAAGAGATTAAACCATCACAGCCCACCAATGAAGAAGAGACTAGGGCAGCAGATCCCACAAGACCAATGAAGCAGCTGCACAACGCCAGGAGAACGTTGAGTCACGGGCTTCAGTCAGAGTCCGTGTTAATAACCAAAACTGGTCATCTGAAGGAATTTTTTAATTTGGGGCAGAAAATAGGACATGGGCAGTTTGGAACTACTTTTCTTTGTGTGGAGAAAGCAACTGGGAAAGGGTATGCTTGCAAATCCATTGCAAAACGAAAACTGTTGACACCGGATGATGTGGATGATGTTAGGAGGGAAATTGAGATTATGCATCACTTGTCTGGGCACCCTAATGTCATTTCAATCAAAGGGGCATATGAGGATGCTGTAGCAGTTCATCTTGTCATGGAACTGTGTGCAGGGGGTGAGCTCTTTGATAGGATTGTTAAGCGGGGGCATTATACAGAAAGAAAAGCAGCTGAGCTTGCTAGGACTATAGTTAGTGTAATAGAAGCCTGCCATTCATTGGGAGTCATGCATCGGGACCTCAAGCCTGAGAATTTTCTTTTTGTCAATGAGCAAGAGGATTCACCTCTCAAGACTATAGACTTTGGATTGTCGGTATTCTTTAAGCCAGGTACACATTGAAAACCCCCTTTTTTTTTCAGTTGCTTCTGTTACTATGAACTCATTATAGCTGTTCTTATGATATAATATAATATACATGTATATTGTCTACCAAAAAGTAATTTACATACTTATATAATCACCCGTAATAGTTTACTTACTAATTGTAATATTTAATAACCTTCATATTGTCAAATGTCAATAGAACCAGTGAACCACCCTTGACATCCAGCTTTACCTGTATGCTGTCAAAATTACATATGCGAAAAGTGTTAAATAGAGATCTATAAAACATTTGTATTTGTGATGATCCTTATTTGATTAACTAGCTAGTTAGCAGATCTAGTATAATTGTATAAAGAACATTAAGAACTATAAGCCTAATTTAGCTCAAGTATTGGCGTGGGGTGCCTTATTTAATAGCATTTTGTGAAAGATGAGTTACTGGGAAGAAGTGGGTGACAACATGGGAAAAAATGGTGTTTTCATTGCCAAACCTGACTTACTATAGATTGTGAACCTGATCCTAAAGCAAGTAAAATACTCATTTGCATTTTTTGTCGAAGCCAAGATTATGGATATAATATGTAATTATTTCGGAAAAAACAGGAGATTTCCTAATGCTAGAAAATGGAGAGAATAAAAAGAGAAGTTAGAAGAGAGATTTGGGCCATAATTACATGGATATTATACCCCTCCTTTTCTACTTTTCTAGATTTGGGAGGCTTCTCAAATTATACTGATTGCGGGCCATATGTACATGGGATGTCATATGAGAATGGTATATGTGTAGATGCTTAATCATTACAAAATATTGAAGGATTTGCTATGGTTTCCCTTCTGAGGGTTAGATGATCAAACTAAGGTCAATGTTTACTATTGCAAACTATCCATTTGAAATGTCTTCAAAGATTTTAGTCACTTTGACTCCCAGTTATAATTTGTTTCCTTAAAGCAGCCTTTATTCGTCAAATGATCAATTCCTATACATCTTCATTGCTTGCCCAATTTTAATTTATTTCATGTTCTTCAGAATTTGAATGACAAAAATTTTATACGTGTATTCTGTTTTGACGATGAAAGTTTGAGTATGTCAACTTACGAACGCATCCATCTTTTGTTTGTTCAGAAGTATAAAAATAAAAAAGAAAAAAGAAAAAGAAAAGATCGTTCTCTCCTTCCATGTTGTATTTTCTACACATCTTGTCCCTTCTATCAAATGCTAACACAACTTTTGCATTTGATCAACTAACGTTTGATTGGCCCAACCTAAGTTATTAGTAAGTTTTGTTGAGTTAAATTAACTTTAGTCCTGGTGTTTGGGTGATCGCTGTTGTGGAGACAACATACCCTAAAGCTTTAGAATGAACTGCCCTTCAGGGTTCTCTGGTATCTGCACTTAACATATTTCTGTGATGGAATAAGTTGTTTTCATGGAGAGGGAATCCCACTTTCTAGATAATTTACCAAGACAGTGAAAGAATGCCACTCAGCTGTCTGTTGACTCTAGTGGAATTCAAAAATTGAATTGAATAAGTAGGATTGCTATTTTATTGCTTCAGCTGGGACATTGAGCAATCTGACTATGTTAGCTATTGGTCAAAGTGGTCAATCATGTTGTTGATTCTACGCAAAATTTCACTAAAATTATTTTCTTAAGGCATACCTTATCTTAAGACCTAGCAATTGTTAATCTCTTCATCATGTTAACTTTACATTTACTAAGTTTTATGTTTAAAACCACGTCTTAGAAAAAATGAGGAAAGGAAATAAGTTACAAAATATAACACTAGTTGGAAGTTACTAGCAAGGAGATAGAAGATCAATGGAGAAGCAGTTCATGAGGAATTAAATTTTTAGGCAGATCAGCTGCTGCTGAGTTTGGGAGCGCAATTCTGATCAGAGCATTGGATTGCAGTTCAATAGTTTTCTCACACATGATGAAGCAAGATCAATTATAGAGCGATTGATATAAGAGGGTGGTATGCATAAAATTATAGTGCGATTGATGAAGCAAAAAAATATATATAAGTGCCATGTAAACGGCATTACTTGTTGAACTGGTAAGATATTTCATGATATGGCAGCATTGAATACTTGGTAGTAATAAAATTATCATAATACGGTAGCAAACAAATGTTGATCAATTATTTGTCTCCTGAAAGGAAAACTTTTGAGTATCTGTTGTTTATTTAACTTTTGACATTTGTGGATACTTTAAATAGAATGTGTATTCTAATCTTCAAACTTTGTAGTGCTATACATTTGACTCTGTTAAGTCTAGATGTTTGATGACAATATTGAATCACAGGGGAAAAATTCACTGATGTGGTTGGGAGCCCATATTATGTTGCACCTGAAGTTTTATGCAAGTGTTATGGTCCAGAAGCCGATGTTTGGAGTGTTGGTGTTATCATTTATATTCTCCTAAGTGGAGTTCCTCCATTTTGGGCAGGTAGGACTTTTAAGTTGTACTTTATATGGTATTTGACTCAATAAGGGTTCTATTTTTTCACAGTTATTACATTCATACACATGTCACCGTAATTTTAGCTGTCATAACTATCCTCTATTTTGATTTACATTTTGATACAGAAACCGAGAAAGAGATATTTGAAGAGATTTTGCATGGTGATCTTGACTTCTCATCAGATCCATGGCCTAATATTTCTGAAAGTGCAAAAGATTTAGTGAGGAAAATGCTTGTTAGAGACCCTAGGAAGCGGCTGACCGCCCATGAAGTTCTCTGTGAGTTACTATGTTTTATTCTACACTTCTATAGATTGAGATATATAGAGGTACTTGAATGTTTAAAGCTTATGATTTGAACTCCCCTTGCCAACGGATGTCATGTGTTGTTAAAGAGATACATTTACATGTTTCTTTGAAATGATGTGATTAGACATTTAATATACTCTCTATAATTATGTGTGTGTGTAAAATATACTGAGCAAGTATTGCTCCAGATTAGATAGATTTTCAAATACCTTTTTTGCTTATTTATAGATGTTTTTGTCGTGATCTTGTGAAAATCATTTCTCTGCCTCAGTTAGTTTCCTAATGAAAAGAAGCTGGACTTATTGTCGTGTATTGGACAGTTGGGACTTCTACATGGAGATCTTCTTAATTTTTAGTTTTCCAATTTTGTAGTGATAAGTTCATCTGTTCAGTTTGGTGGTCTATATACGAAGCATGTAGGGAGTTAAATGTCATTATAGCTTCTTGTGGCTTGAAGTTAAATTAAATTCAAGTCCTTTTCAGAAAATGATTTCCATAGAAGTAAGGGAAAGTGGTGTTATATAAGCTTCTGGGGGAAGCCAGATGATACGTGTTTTTTTTTTTTGGTACAATTGATAAATTGGTATATGTCATTGACATGCAGAATGCATAGCAGAATGTTTTTTAAACACTGGTAATATTTATTTCGGTTTCCTTGCAGGCCACCCTTGGGTCCAGGTTGATGGGGTGGCGCTGGACACCCCTCTTGGTTCTGCAGTTTTAAGACGCTTGAGACAGTTCTCAGCCATGAACAAGCTTAAGAAAATGGCTCTTAGAGTAAGTGTTTGTATGTCTTCATGAGTCACTGCCACATAGAATTTTAATATTTGGGCTGAATACATAAATCTACTTAGTCCTGTGAGACATGCAGTTAGTATTAAATTTCATACCAGAAATATTCACACCCATTTAAATACTTGTGTTTTTGTTACATAGGGCATTGCTCATCAAAGCCTTGATTAGAGTGGTATGTCCTCCACTTAACCAAAGGGAAAGTCGAGGATTCAAGCCCCAATAAGGGCGTGTGTGAGAGTATAAAATTACCTATAAATTAATAATACATAGGGCATAGCTTGGACTTCACAAATTCTAGTCTCTGGACTGGATACACAAATCTATTGAATTTAGGGCAGAAGTTCAATGACATCCTTTTAAATACTTATCTTGTGTTTTTGCTACATAGGATGTCAATTGCATGGACTTAGCAGATCTTCATATATTGACCGAGCACATAAATCTATTCAATTTGATAATGCATAGCATCAAATTTTAATGTTAGCGCAGAAGCACATTCAACACTTTTAAATATTTACTTTGTGTTTTACCATGAAAAATTATACTTCGCTTGTGCTTTTTTTAAATAAAAATTTAAAATATATATTTTCTTCCTATAGGTCATTGCTGAGAGTCTCTCTCAAGAAGAAATTGCTGGGTTGAAAGAAATGTTCAAAATGATAGACACAGACAACAGTGGGCAAATTACTTTTGAAGAACTCAAGGCTGGACTGAAAAGATTTGGTGCAGATCTTAGTGAGTCCGAGATCTACAATCTAATGCAGGCTGTAAGTATTATTTTAGAATCCGAAAGTGGCTTAAAAAATAATTTAAAGGAATAGATTCAAAAATCTTTCTCATTATATGTTAAGCCGAAACAAGATGCTTCTTCAAGTGGCTAAACTTGTTCATCAGGACTGAAATTTGTAGCATATTTTGTCTTGGGCTATATAGTTCTCATAGAAAATGTCTCAGAGTGAAATTTTAGTTGGAGAATTTGTTTTCAGGAGCAAAGAGGATTAGTTCAAACTGAATAAGACAATAAGTTAATACCGTTTACCTTCTTCGCGACCTTGGGAATCTTATACTCTGAAATTATGCTGATATATGCATATCATTTCTATAACAGATTCTGTTCATATATCATACTTGGAACTTGAATGCCATTATTACCACTGTATTAACCACAATATTTACCATTCCCGTGGAATGCAATTGAATTTCCCTCTAAAATAAACATCAACTTAGTTAGAGATATTAAATGCTAGCAATTTGAATCTTCAACAATTCAGGAAAAATTTTGAATGTTTAACAAAATTCCTCTAGGGTGCTTTTCTAGCTATATATATAAAAAAATTTATGTATAATTTACTGTCAATTTTACATACTCGATTGGCGATGTTCTTGTCTGTGGTTTTATCTTAATCTTTCCATTTCAAATATTTGACTTCTTTTGATTCCAATGCTTGTTCTGAAAATGCAGGCTGATGTTGATAATAATGGCACTATTGATTATGGGGAGTTTATAGCTGCGACATTGCATCTTAACAAAATTGAGAAGGAAGATCATCTATTTGCGGCTTTTTCATATTTTGACAAAGATGGCAGTGGTTATATAACCCTAGATGAGCTTCAACAAACCTGCAAAGAGTTTGGCATAGATGATTTCCACTTGGAAGAAATTATCCAGGAAGCTGATCAAAACAATGTAAGTGTTTTAATCACCTCATGATCATTACGTCATCCTTGTATCTATGGCGTTTGTGTCAACACATAAGATCTTTATTAGAGATCTGGTGCTTCTAAGACTTTGGAAAACTAATTGCCAACTAGGAGCTTGATCTAAATTTCATAAATTATATCTAGTAATCATGGATAAGAGTGGATCCATGTATTATGAAGTTGAAGTGGTATGGACATCGTTATGACATTCATGACACTGTCCAAATTTGATCTTCAGCCAACTCTTCAGATCAAGCAGTTATTCAGAACACACTTAAATTGCAATATCAAAAGTGTACCTACTGATCGACAATGGGAAAAAAATTTATCCTCGTTTGCTTTCCTTTTTGATTGGTTTTCTTTGTTTAAGAAATGAACTTGGTCAATTTCATAATGGTGATTATGACGGAAATTTGAACTGCGGCTAGCTTTGACATTTGAAATGGTCTTTTTTTTTTTTTTTTTTTTTTTTTTTCGCTTCATTGATCATTAACCTTCACTCAACTTTAATCTGTCAGGATGGTACCATAGATTACAATGAGTTTGTGGCCATGATGCAAAAAGGAAACGACGATTTGGCTAAGAAGCGTCACAAAAGTAGTTTTAGTATTGGATTTAGGGAGGCCCTCCAGGTTTGTTGATACAATGATGCGGCTTTTTTTTTTCATTTTTTCCGGTTCTCATTATTTTTTGTTGTATACAAATCTTACTAGGTCAAAGGATTATAAAGTGCTGGTGTATTTATCAGCTTCTTTTAGTGTTTGCATGAAGTTTCTTAGCAGTTACAAGTGTTCAGGTTTTGTGAATTTCACAACAGGGCTGTCCTCTGTTTATGTTACACGGAAGAAAAAGGTTATTGATTCCTCTCTCTTTCTCTCTCTGAGTGTGTGTGCGTGTGGGTGGGTGAAATTTTGTTTACCACACCAGAAATCTTGTATGAATCAAGTTGCATTCCCCTAGATACAAATGGTCCGTCTTAATGTATAAAATTCCATTAAATTGATATGTTTCATTATATTCTATGTAGCATATGAAATGAAACTTTTAATAGAGTTCTGTCGCAAATTTCCGCATAAATGATTTTTTTTTTTTTTTTTGGTAATCTGCAGAACTATGAAATGAGTTCATTGTAGTTTATTTATTTATTGTGTTTATAAGATATAGTCGGCTCCTATGGATGAGTTTAGACGTTAATCATCATATGCTCACTTTACAGGAATTGGCATTTAAACGAGTGTGTGAGAGAGTGTATGTACTATGTACGTGTTTGTTTGTGTATCTCAGTTTCAAACAATGCATCTCTGCTCTAAAATTTAGAAGAATCGGCGCCACAAGCAACCTTATCTTTTTAATAATGAAACAGAGGTTCATTAAAAACTCAATCATGAAGTGTGTTATATTATCGTTACAATTATTATGTTATGTCATACCATACTTAACCTACATGTCATCAACAGTGTTTTTATATATTCATTTGGCTAAGTGGATGAGATGGCGAAGTTTGATTAAAACCTTAAGTAGAGTTATTTTTGCTAATCATTTATGAGATAAAGAACACTTTGGTCATATCCAAGTGGGGTTTCAAAATCGCGCTGTTTAGGCGATTTCAATCTGATTTAGGAGCTTGTTTGGCCCTACTTTTGTTTAAATAAAAAGAATTTGAGAGCTTCAACATCCCGTCGCCAATTAAATAATTCCCCTAAACTTCACATATGAATGGACCACACATGCAAACTGATGTCATGACAATTAATGATATATATAAATACCTAAGAGTAATGTAGTTCATCCTTGAGATATCCTAACTGTTTATCAAATGGGATTTTTCAATTGTTGTTGGTTCATTCATCAGGTGAATTCCACTTATTATAACTACATTTAACGATTGAGGGATAATATCCGATCCCGAGATATTCCCTTACAAAAGATAAATAATTACATCAAATAGTCTAACCACTTATTATTGAAGAGTGTTTTGAGCTTAATTCAAACCAAATGTCTTAAAGGAGTCCAAAGCAAAATACCGAGAATTTTTTAATACCTTTTGATAACTTTTTACCTGTACCATCAACATTCATTTTTCATGATCATAAGAAATCACAATGTATGATTAGTCATGGGGCCTGAATGTATTTACCCAATATCTCACTGCCACGTGGCCATGCTCTAGCTATGTAGTACATGAATGGAAATGCACATGCCATGCATGGAGTCAGAACCCAAATAAGAGGGCACCATTTTAGTTACTTTCAAACAAAGCCAGCGTTGAATACAACGTATCACCCACAAAATCCTGATTAATCTCAGTCCACTCTCAAACATGGAAAATTAATTGGGGCCCCAAATGGACGGCCCTGATCTTTCCTACCATAAAAAATGGGCCGTACGATTTCCTGGAGAGGGCCTTTGTCGCCTACCACGCACGTCGTGACAGCTCACGCCTCTCTGTTGTACACGTTGATAGTGGGGACGTAACCACGTTGCTCGGTCGTGCCACGTCCGCGAACAACCACCCTGTGCACGTTCTCCAACAGTTTCTCTCAAGGTTTTGCTCTCAATCATTGGTATGATACCCATTTACTATAATGCCCTTGATTAATTTGGTCAATCACAAAACATAATAGACCATAATACCCTTTTGGTTTATTGTTATTATTATTTTTTTTGAGCTTTATCCATCCACCGAACTAGGATTAATTGACTGGTCAAATCACATTCAAATAAAATTTCAAGAAACTGTCTCTTGTCTCCAAACATTCAAAAACTTGACAATTATGTAAGTTATCCGTGTGAAATAAGTTAATTATTAAATTTAAGATATAAGTAAGATATTGCATTTTTATTAAAAAAAGGTATAATATAATGGTCATTGTACATAACTTTTGATTAGAAAATTTATTTAATGGGTCATCAAAACGGTAAAAGCATTTGAGATTTATAACTTGACACTTATTACTAGATAGTATTATTCTTGAATGATCAAATCCTAAAATTAATGAGAATTGAGGAAATGGTTTAATTGAAAATGTACCTCCTTATTCTTAGTGAACCTCATACTACAAAAACCTATTCCAATGAAAAAAAAAAAAAATTGTTTAAGATAGAACTTAATTGAGATTTAAAAATAAAAAAAATAAAAAAAACCAGTACTTGCACCATATATAGTGACGGATGGATCCAAGTATTGGTGGTATATTTGTTGATGTTAATGATGAATATAGAATTTCAAATTTTGTTTTTTAGTTGAAGATGCATGAATGTTGCGTACATATGCATGTGACATTGTCACTAAGATGAGTGGTAAGTTGAATGGAAAAGGTTTGTCAACACTCCAAATTTGGGTCCTCATTGTTCCTGCTTACTTGATCTGTGACTAATAAGAAGAAGCATTCTAAACATTTGGGTTGAGTGATGAGACTTGTCAAGATTAAACTCAACCATGTCCAACAGGACAACAACTTTTTTTTTTTTTCATTATATCAACAACTTATATTCTCAATTAAGAAGATTGAAAGCTCCACCAAAAAAAATGTGTATAAAAAATGAAAATAAAATCATTTATACAATTCACTTTATATGATGAAAAGAAAAAAATTTCATTATGAAACTATAATTAGCTTTAGGATAAAATCGATTGAATTTTAATTAAGTCATACAAACTTCTGTTAACTTGGGTTAATTAAATAATAAATGGTGGGGTAATGCTTTCAAACCCTAGGTCCCACCCGGCCTCATGTTACCTCAATCAATGGTGATGGTGAAGTGCAGACAGTCCAAAATTCTGTCATTAATAGGAATATTTTAATTTAATATTGAAATATAGAATGCTCAAGTATTGAATATTAAATTTCATATTTGTGTATATGTGTGAAAACATATTCTTTATTAAAAAATAGAGTCGAGAAGAGAGAAAATGTAATTTAAAATCATATGGTATTTTACTAGCAGGTGAAAAGACTGGAAAGTCCAAAGTGGTAGAGGTTGATTACAAGCTCTACTAATAATAATAATAATAATAATGAGAAGAAGAAGACATTGCTCATGTCTTATCCACATGGTATCCAATGACGGCACCAAGTCTTATCATTAACAAAATGTAAGCATTCACACTGCTAAAGGACATGTATTCTCTTGGATGCATTTAATTTTTTTTTTTTAAATGCATTTAAATTGAGAAAAAAAAATATGATTATTAAATTGAAAATGCAAAAATTATATATTATTGATGTGTGTTAATTGTATTTAAGTATTTATTGTAATTAGTCAAGGAACTTGTTATGATTCCATTCTCATATGTAATTATTGTAAAGTGTTTATAATAAAGTAAGACACTGTTTCACTCGTAAAGTCGTAAAAAAATAGAGTATCCAGGTTTATTTGGTTCGTAATTTTGAAAATAATTCTTATAAATTCAGAGAATAAAAAACAGTTTTCAATAAACATAATCTAAAAATAAACATTTTCATAATTGAGTTTTTGAAAAATTAAAACAAATAAATTTTTTTTTTTTTACAATTTTTAATTTTCATAATTACAATTCAAACAAGAACTATCAATGTCTCGGTTGTGCTTATAGTCAAATACCCTCCCCAAATTTGGCCAACTATATATATATATATATATATATATATATATATACATACACTGTAATAAATGCAATGGAAAATGAATGATTGAGAGAGGGGGGGGACAGTTATTTGTGCGGGGGTCCTGAGTGGCAGTTTAGTCATTTAAGTAGTATAGCAATCAATCTATTCTCACTTCTTCGAAAATCTCGTCTCTCTTTTTAACGCTCTCTATGGAATGACGTCTTTTTCTCTCTAGTATTTCTCGAACCAGTCGCCCAACTTTGAAGCGTTTGAATTCTAAAGCATAATTCTACTCAAAGAAGCAGAGCAACTATTACTACTCTACTTGGGTTTCTTATCCACACTCAAAGAAGGTACTCTCTGATTTCATTATAAGCTTTGCATTTCTTCAATCTTTGTTGCAGTAGTTTCTAACTTCATAATTCTGACTTCAATGCTTACTTTTGGCACTGTATTGTGTTTGGATCTTTGTTCAGTCACTGGGTTTGATTTAAGTTAATGAAAATGTTCTAGTTTGTGTTTTCAATTTGTTCTCTGTTTGGCTGCTGAGAAAATATAGGAAAGAAAAATTCAACATAGATTGAAAATTACAAGAATTTTCATTGTTACGCTCTCTGGGTGTTTCCTTTTATTTTATTTTCCTTTTCTCATTTCCGCATATTTTGTCATTAACCGAACTTGGATTTACTCTTCCACTCTAGATTTTTAGGAATTGAATCATTTCGTATAGAAATGATAAATATGGGTTCCAGTACGAGAGCAGTCATTTTGTGTCAAATAGTGCCAAGGGTAGCACCCGCATTGGGGGGACAAATGGCCTTCGGCATCCAATTAATATCCCGAGACCCCACAATGGCAGGAGCTTCGTGTACTGGGCTACCCTTGTATTGGATTCTGTGACTCGGGGTTAATTAAGTTGGTTTGTTAATTGACAATTAAATTTTTTCAGGAAATGTGTATCACTGAGATTTCTTTTTCAGGAAATGGAGTCTGAAAATGGGGTTTCAATAGAGGATAAGAGTGGTTTTACTGAAAAAACCAATGTGGAAGGATCGGATGTGGGTTTAAAGAAACAGGAACTGCATGTTGATGATGGTGAAAACGTCTCCAATGTGAATGGAATCTCTGAAAATGTAATTAAAGCCGAAATAGATGTTAATTTATCAAGAGAGAGTAAATTACCAAACCTCCTTAAAGGACCAAATGTTGCTAATTCAAAAAACAATAAAATTGCCAAGGATCGACCTAGTTTGAAAGGCCCAGCTCTGTTTGCTCGTAACACAAGGTCGAGCCTGACTCAGAGCCTGTCTTTCCCCGCGAGAGGACTCCATTCTGATGTCATGAAGAAGAGCATTGATGTGTACCCAGTGAAATCAGATGCCAAACATCTTCGAACAAGTATGGCAAAAGCTCAATTTCGATCTTCAAATGGAATGATGACTTCAGTTACGAGTTTGAGTCCAACTAAGAGACGAGCATCCACCGGAGTGAACTCAAAGGGAACAAACACAAATGGTGTCCGGGCATCCACTCGCCGGGCGACTCTAGCATCTGCCCAAAGCACCAATCAGTCACTGGTAATGTTTTGGGTTCTAATTTTGTTGTGTTGAAAAGTCTTTTCATCCTTCTATGTACTTAACCCTCCTTTATGTGAATTTTGTCTGTGTTTGTTATCATTAGCTTGGAAAATCTGTTTCCGTAAATGGAACTACAAACTACCCTCCATCTAAAGTCTCCTCGTAAGTGGCACTCCACTGCTACATAGATTTTTCAAATACGTTTATTGGTCATCTATATTACTGCAATATAAGTTGGTTCTATTGTATCATTCTATCATTTAAATGTCAATATGTGTGGAGAAGAATGAAATAGAATTAAATTTCTTCTGAATAGCTTTTATTCTTGCAGATCGGTTGATCAACATTCACAGCCTATCAAAACTGCATTACCAATTAAAGAGGACGACGATGCCCGCTCCACTACTTCCTCGTACTACTTCTATCCTAAACTTCCATGTTTCTTGTTGAGCTATTCTTTTTATCAACTCCCTGTTGCCTGTCACACATTAATATGTTCATGATATTCTATATCTTATCAGGAGTGCCACACCTGGTGGACGGAGGAGCAGTGCGATTGGATTTTCCTTCAGGTTGGAAGAGCGTGCTGAAAAGCGAAAAGAGGTGGACTATGCATACTTTTTTTTCGTCAGCTTTTGATGGCATAATTTAAATTCTAAAAAAGGTCATTATTATGTATTTGTTCTTCAGTTCTTTTCAAAGCTAGAAGAGAAAATTCATGCTAAGGAAATGGAAAAAAGTAACTTGCAAGCACAATCAAAGGTATGGGAACAAAGAATATTTAGTTTATCTATTTTTAATTCCTGTTTTGTTATCCTTGATCTAGTCTCAGACTCTCAGGTTATTCACTCTGTTTCCACATTGGAGTTTTTGCAGGAGAACCAGGAGGCAGAGATAAAAAAGTTGAGGAAGAATTTGACTTTTAAAGCTACACCTATGCCCAATTTCTACAAAGAACCCCCGCCAAAAGTTGAATTGAAGAAGGTAAGTCATGTCTTTTTCTTGATGCTAGAAGGTTATACACTGCTGAACTACCTCTATTCCTACAATTTGCAGTTAAAAATGTAGGCATTGTGACTTGTGAAATTGTATACAAAATTCTTTCGTAGACTGGAATAGCATTATACAAATTCTCCGTGGATTTACAAATACAATATTTACCTCCATCCCTTTCCCAGTTTGGTATGGCAACTTGACAACAGTATAATTACTTCAACCTCTCCACTTCAAGGAAGCCTCATGTCGTAATAACTGACATTAAGGCATGCAGCACTCTGGAATTTTTCCAGGGTCGTATTTGTATTGGTAATCAATGCACTTTTATGCTGTTAAACTTACCAGATAATTGTATGCTTTTACATTCATGCATTTATCTATTGGTTCGATGCCTCTTTTTTATGGAAGATAGGTTTTGGTGATCATGAAGGAGATTAATGATTGATTTGGCATTTTGACAGCCTTGAAAGAGATTTGGTTGATTGCATTTTGGAAAGAATTTTAAATGAATTCATTACATTCTTTGTAGTGTTGTGTCAATCAATTTCTGAATAAAGATACTTTAGAATTTCAACAATCTACCTCATACTATTTATATTCTTTCATTCTGGTGTTGCTATAAATGTGGTTTCATTGGGTATTGGTTGCTAGCATCCTCTGGGAGGTACTGCAGTCTCCAAACCAATGGTGTTGTCCTGCCACTTGCATTGACTATAACAATTATGATTTTTTTTTTTTTTTTTTTTTTTGGGGGGGGGGGGGGGGGGGGGGGGGGGCTGGTGTATCAACTGGGGGGAAAAAAAATGTGGACGTAAAACATCTATAAAGTGAAGGCCTTTTGCCTGGCTTTGATTGAACTGAAGAAAGTGATCGTTCTATTTTGATTACCTTAAATTAATAATTACACGGTCAGGATTAGAAGTTGAAGTTCTTACACTTAGTCTTGTGATTTAGGCGCAGTCATGCACCATCATTGTAACAGATAGTGACCCTATATGCGAAGTCTGGAATTTAGGGTTCTTACTTCTTAGACAATGCATCCTTAAATCTACATCCATTCACCTTACAGATATGTTCTTTGTTAAAACTTTTGTTACAAGCTGCACATTAAATTTATTTACAAGTAGGTGAACGACTGTTACTCCTCCTGTCCTCTACTTATGCTTGATTTGCCTTTATGTATCAGCATTGTTGTTAGATTGTATGTATTTGTTAATTTTATAGATACCAACAACACGAGCAATATCTCCAAAGCTTGGAAGGAACAAGAGCTTCATTGCTGCAGGAAACAACACCTCAGAAGGCCGTGGATTGTGTCTTAGTCCACGTGTGTACCGAGATCATAGCAAGTCACCCAAGGGTAGCCAGGCCAGTTGTGACAAAGATATTGCTGCTTCAAAGAAATTGATAAGGAAGTCTCAATCTAAGCTTCAGCCTCAGGAATCTGTGACGACTAAAACAGAAGGAATACCAGTCGAGGCTAAGCCAAAGACCACAGAAACAGAGAGCCAAGACCAAAAAACTTCTGAAGGAGAATCCAAAGAAAGCCAAAATCAGTCCGTGAATCCCTTTGAAGTCGAGGATAGGATAGAGCCAGAGTGTGAGAAGACTCCTGCTCAGAGCAATGGAGACTTTTCGAGTTCAGGCAATCCAGATATCATGCCTGTTGAAGTAGCTGTTGGAGGTTGAAGACATCATAACTCAGACCTCATACTACTTATAGGTTCTTAAAGTCTTTTTAAGTTCCATTGTTTTGTGAATAGTGTGTGGTTGTAAGTCACTTTGAAAGCTACATATTGGTAATCTACAGGTTAATATAATCATGTGTTTTATAGTGAAGAATTTTCAGTTCATGACTATATATATGGCTTCATTGAATTTCTTTGGCTCATAGACTGTAGATTGATATTCTTCTTTATTACTGCAATTATAGATAGCTAGCTCAAGTGGATGATGGACTCTTTTTTTGCCCTTTTCTTTTGGGGTAGAGCAAAGTTCTGGAAGCTTCATATTTTTCTCAGTGAGCATTTTGGAATTTAGTAACTTAATAATGTTTGGTTGATCCCATTGCCCTCCTAGGATGGGAACTAGTTGAAATTTGATGTCTACTTTCTCAAAAGTTGCTTTTGATTGAAGGAAAAGGAAAAGGAAAAGGAAAAGGAAAGGGAAAGGGAAATATAACTGTTCTCCTCTACTTTTCAGTGTTGCAGGAAAGGGTGGATTGCATTAATAACTGTTTTCCTTGAAAAATATTTTATATAAACTTCCTCTTGTGTTCCAACTCAAGCGTCCTCTTTCTTGTTTTGTGCTTCTTTCTCTCCTCCTCCTCCCTGAGAGATTCAAGAAAACTGGAACTCGATCTTCTCTTGTGAGTCGAAACAAATCATCAAATATCATTCTTTTTAATTTGGTTATATGGATTAAATGGTTGATTATGATAGTTTATAGTGAATTTTGATAATTGTAAATGATGCCTTGATGGGTGTGTTATTGTTGGGTGCAATGTTTCCACCAAAGTTCTGAATACGTTTTAACCTCTTAATTTTTTTAGGTTAATCCCCTCACACTTTGCCAACCCCACAACTCATGCAATAATCCATTCCTTTTTGTTTCTATGCTTCATATAACACCAAATGAATGAGATCAGTGCAATAAACTGCTCTCTTTTTAGGGTTGGGACCATCTTTTCCCAAAGTGGAGAAAAAAAAACTGGTGATCCGGCACAACAAGATGAATATGGCTACTAATTTAATTTCTGCAAATATGGGCTGAAAAATTGTACCCGAATACTGAGTGCAAAACTTTTTTCCAGGGAATTAAGGGAAATATTAAAAGGTTGTGGTTGAGAAAAAGAAAATAAATAATAACCTTAATTACGGTACTCTTTTTCATAGATTTTTTTTTTTTTTTTTTTTTTTTTTAAAGTAAGTATAAGTTTAGTATTAAAAAATTTCATTAAAAATGCTAGTCTTTGACCTTGCTTCCCAACCTTCTTTAAGTGGACCTTGCTTCCCTTAAAATGCAAAGCTGCTCTTTTTCGTAATTTCAAATTTTGGAAGGATAACAAAAATTAACTCATTAAATTTGAATGTATCCCCCCAAACTCTTCAATTTCTTATATTTTTCTTCCAAATTTATACCAAAAGTTAAAATAACCATGTCCCTTCACGTCATTTCCTTTCTTTTTCTTTTCCTTTCTTTTTCTTTTCCTTCTAACCAAATTGGTCTTTGAGTGAAGATAATGGGCTTCCAAACAAATCTTACCCTTTTTGTGGTTCCCGAATCCCGAGACATGATAGGAGAAGAATCCCTTGGGCTCATTCGGTCTTCAAATTTGTACCAAATGCTATGTTTCAGGCCATGTCCATATATTTCTAAATATGGATTAAATTTTGGATTTTATTTAGAAGGATTAGAAAGAACTTTTTCCTAAAATGGAGTGACCAAAATAGGTAAACGTACAATTAAAGAAAAAATTGAGATAATGCATTGGTTCGATCGAATTAACCAAATTAAGAACTATCGATCTACAGAGGTGGTTATGTTCCATTACTATATAAGTAAGGAGAAATGATAAATATCATAGATAGAATGATATGGTCTGTGAGTTGGCCGGCTAAGTGTTATTTAAAAGTAAAATTTTAGAAGAGAAATTAAGAGAAGGGAGAGAAACGAAATGAAAAAAAGAAGCTAGTGACTTCGATTATATTTGCGGTACATTGAGATGAAGGTACAATGGTTTGTGCTAAGTGTATATATATATGCATGTATATTTATAAGTGAAGATCAAATTATTTAAGTATCAATTGAACTATGGTATAATGAGATTATTACTCACAAACTCCCCAATATCTATTCCGAATGAATTTTTGGTTAGTCAAGACAAATGCTTTATGAGATTCAAGTAGGGTTCATATAACCAAAATAAATAAAATAAAATACGCAGATAGAGAGGAGCTCGAAATTTGGACAAGTCAAATGGGGGACGGCTAGCCCACCATCCATTGCCTACCAATAAGTTCAAGAGATCCAGCTCATTCGCTAGCTGGTAATGTGATTAATCATTAATCTAATAATAACAAAAGACCATGCAAATGTACGACTGAGAGGGCTTTTTTAATAACTAAAAAAATACTTTTATCATATAAAGCTAAACAATTACTCCCACCACAAAAAGAATTTTTCCTTTGCATAAACCAATAATTGACAATCATATATTTTCCATTTCATTAGAGCAAGACTCAACACCCACCGTCAAGTACGCCTTACCTTGCTGTCTTAATCAATATAAATAAATACATAATCCAACCACAACAACCATCTACTCTGATGTGTCTTTTTCACAATATGTCAAAAAAATAAAAATAAAAGTCTTTTTCACAACAAAACAAAATAATTAAATAAATAAATACCACCAAAGCAAGTGAAGGTCCTTTTTCATTCATTCACACAACACGTTACAATTTAGTAATACAAAGAACAGAGATGCTATCTCCACAACCATAATGACTTCACCGACAGTCCCTTGTATCACACACACACACACAGATTGCAGTCTACAAGCATATGAGATAAAAGGACTGTGAATTCAATTATTAGAGCTTTGGAGATGGAACATTCCCTAAAGAATATGAAAATTATTGAGACTCCAGTAAAGTAATTCATGCACAAACAGGGGCAAAAAAGAGAGACACCACCCATGACTAGAGCTGATCCTTTCTTTGTGCATTGAGTGTTGACGAAGCAAAATAGATACATCGAAAAATGACATGTAATTACAGTATTTATAACAAAATAACATCGAAAAACTTTCTGCTGAGAGTGCAAGCATCCTTCCATTTATCTAGCCGTGCAGTAGAATAGACAGTCATCTACAAGGTAACTCTGTCAATTTAACAAATATTATTGTAAGCCTAATGAACGGACATTTTTAAAACTGAATTAGAGAGGAATGTACAAGTCAGTAATATACTCACTTTTTCTCCATTTCTGTGTTTCATTTTTCTTTCTTTTGGGATTTTCCTATGTAGTATGAATTGTCACTGACAGCTAGTGAAATGTCCGAACGTTCCCAGCATATTACATGCTACTTCCATCAATTTGCCTGCATTTGCATTAAAGTAAAACTAGTGAGTCAAAGCATAGAATGAAGTTCTAGTTAGCAACAAGAAGAAGAAAAAGAACATCGTGTTAATGACGAGACCCCGAGTGACTATTACGAGATAAATCAGGAGTATTAAACTTCTTATACTCTGTGTTAAGAACGACAATGTGACCGGTTTGAGTAATCCCTATAAATTCAGGTGCAACTTTGGCTTCCTTCGTATAAGGGAAAACCAAAGGAGCCTAGTTAACGATAGAGCAAGACCTTGTAATTTAGGCAACAATACCCACAAATTTCAGTTCAGCAAAGCTGAGAATGAAAGGACCAGGGGAAAGATTCGAGACAAGGCCAACCAGTCACTAATGGGGATGGAGTTGTGTATCTTAAATTTCAAGTAATCCAGGATGTGTAGTACTGCTCGGTGTTATTATTGTTGCTTTTAATTATTACTTCAATATCAAATTATTATTACTTCTACCACACACCCCAGAGGCCACTATAAAATTGAAGTCAACTATATAATAAGTTGGTAGACAGAGCAGCTAATTATTAATGAAATGTTTAGAACCGTATAAGAAGCTGATATATAATTGAAATGCATACAACAATATGAGAATAATGTGGTACCAATATAAGTGTCATAGACAGGTTGTCAGCACTGATTGAAGTCATAAATGGAATAGTAGTTGAGTGGATCACAGGGTCGGTAAGGAAATCTCCTTTTAACCCCTCACCGACAAAATAAAATACGCCATTTTTGACCTTCCACTATTCAGTGACACACCTAAATTACTCTCAAGAAAAGAAGAAAGATGATAAAAAGGTTATTCTAATCATATGCCAAATAAAGTTATTACATGAAGCAACAATAATGGTAGACTTAAAAGTGATTAAATTGCATGTCGGATAACAATACTAATTATGTGGTGGGGGCATATGTGGCCAATTATGTGTTTACTTTTACTAGGCAAGACAGCTAATATCAATAGGCTCTACCTACAAATATTCACAATTAGTTATGACAGGCATAAACAACGCGTTTATATGGTCATGATTCCCATCTGACCCACCGCCACCGCTACCAAATTCCGGCCACCGGAATATCCTTATAGCTTTACCATCTATGTATGACTCTATTCTCCGGTCACCCACACAAATTAAATTAATAAACCGACCCCATTTTTTTGAAGAAATGTAAGTAAAGCAATCAATTACATGCGTTTATAAATCAACTATGGTACTAAAATTAGTGTAAAATAATCTAATAATACTAGTATTAAATAAAAACAAGAAATCGAGAACAATAACACTAAAATTGAGTCAGTGATCAAAGAAACGAACCTCTCCGCGGCTTCGCAACAACCTTAGCAACCGGAGAGAGTTTCGTCGCCGGTACGGACTCCTCCGTCGGAAAAAGCACCCCATCAATCCCTTGAACCGAAATCCTGCCGTCCGTGTATATATCGGGATCGAACAAATACGCGGACAAGTCCCCTTGACCGAATTTAACCGACCCATCTGCCTCCTCCGCCACAACCTTGTGCGGTAACCTTAGGGTATCGTACCGGACCTTCCCGAATCTCCGAACCGCATTGTACATGCTCTCCTCCGTCTGGTACTCCGGTATCAGATGGTAATACATTATTTGCTCAGGCGCACCCGGTTCGCTCAACTGGTCAGTGGTCAATTTTGCCATGGCTTCATCGTTGGGAGCCAAAACGGTCAGCACATACCCCTCCGACACCAAACGCCCCATCTCCGTCGCGAGCGACGTCAGATTCACTAAAATGTCTGCCATTTCATTGTAGCCGCCGTAATGCAGTAAGGTCTGGATGAAGTCTTTGACTTGGCTCTCGCCGTCGAAGTGTTTGTGAGGTCCTCCCGGTCCAGGGGCAGGCGCCGGAGCTAGGGACGGTCCGGGAGCCATCGCGTCGAATATAGGCAGAACCGGAGGTGAGCCGGCGGGGACAGGCGCCGCGGGTTTCTTCAACCGGTGGGTCCGGGGGTCCACCTCTGGAGCTCCCTCCGGCAGCACGGCAGAGATGGACCGCAGATTCCGTCGACGGTTGAAATCTTCCTCAACCGATTTGGGAATCAACAGGCGTTCGATCCCGTGGATCACGCCATCGGGTCGGACGACGTCGTCTGGACGAATAACCTTGGCCAGATCCACCACTCTCTCTCCGGAAGCTTCACTGGTCAAATGCAGAGGATCGTTGCAGAGCGTGGTGTGATGAGTCGAGCCGGCGGGCGAACTCGGCCACTCGTGCGACCCAATCCGAGTCGGGATAATATGAAAGAGCAAGAGGCTCTGGAGGGACCTGAGATTGCCGGGTTCGAGGAGGAATCGCTTGAACTCGGGGTCGAGTTCGCGCTCCAGAGCTTCATTTCTGGGTGCGAAGATGGTGATATTGTGTTGACTCACAGCCTTTTCGAGGGTCTGTAATAGGAGAGCCTTCTCAACAAGCTCGGCGAGCTCAGTGTAATGCGAGTCGAGAAGGGCAACAAGGACGGAGTTGGAGTTGATCTGGGCTGATGATGATGTCGACGGAGACGAGTGCTTCGCCGTCCTGTTTTCCGGCAATGCCATTCCGGTTCCGATGAGGGCAAGGAAGAAGAAGAAGAAGAAGATCTTGAAGGCACCATACTTCTGAGAAGCCATGGCGCTCAAGGAAAGAATAAGAACACTTTTGGGATGGGGAGATATATGGGGGAAGAAGAGCTATGAAGTTCACTCTCTCTCTCTAAAATCTGTGTGTGCGTTTCTCTCTCTTATTTCTAGTGGTTTGTGTGGTGGAATTAAAGTGAGGGCAGTGTTTACTTCATTTAGGGGGGGTTGGTAAAAGTGATTTTGCTTGGAGATGAAAAAGTTGGGACACGTGGAGGAATCCTAGCTGAAACGCACAAATGGAGTCGTTTTTACCTTCACGGGGCCTGTGGGGTCACATGTATACTGGCCATTGTCCATGAGGTCAGTGTTTGGCCGGCGCGGCTTTAGATGGCTTTGCATCTTATATGAAAGAGTCACGTTCTTGTGTCTAAAGTCTGCACCTTTTCATTAAATGAAATTTATATCCGCTGATCTGAATAATGAATATGAAAATCAGGTTAATAAATCTGAATAATGAATATGAAAATCAACCAGGTTAAAAAATCTGAATATGAATTCAACCGCTGATTAGTTAAAAAATCTGAATATGAATTCAACAGCTGATTCAATAATTGATTAATTTCTCAATTTGATATTACAGAAATGAATTATGTACAGAGTAGTTAAAAAATCTGAGTATGAATTCAACAGCTGATTCAATAATTGATTAATTTCTCAATTTGATATTACAGATATGAATTATGTACAGAGTTTGTATTACAAAACTGAATTCTTGACTTTATGATGGTGTAGAATGAAATAATGCAAGATGTTTGGAAATATATTAATTGTATTTATTGTTTGTGAATGATATCATTTTAATAGATACGTTTAGGTGGGAAAAAAAAAATTAATAGATAAACCAAAATAGTACATGAGATATAATTTGGATGAAGCAAAGATGAAGACAGACAATATAAATATTAAAATTAAAAAGCAAATGATTACTCAATTATTATTTTTGCTATTTAGGTTCAAATATAGCAAAAGAAAGATTTTATGGGATGGTTATTAGGTCAATTATGTTGTATGAAATATAGTTTAGGGTGCTGAAAAAGAAATAAGAACAATGAGGGATTTTTGTAGCCAAAATGGGGATGCTATCTTGTATGATACATAGAGGAGTAATTAGATGATACAAGATTAGTAATGATTAAGTGAGGGGTAAGTTATTTAGGAACAAGACTTGCTTACTCACATGTGAATAAATCATTGGTGATGTGGTCTAATTACAAATGCACAAAAAGTCTTTAATTACAAAATCAATAAAGTAATAAATAAGGATAATAATTTTTTTAGAATAAATTTAGTCACCCTCTTTTATTTCTTTATTTATGACTTTCCTGATTTTATAATTATAAACTATGTATCCATTTAAAATTGGATCACATTAGTGATCAGTAGAGATAACTTACCCACAGATTAGTAGGCAAGCTTTGTCCAATTAGAACTTAGAAGTAACTAATGTTAGTGATAAATTAGATAGAGTAGGCTTAGGTGGTAATCATACCTAATGCGGAGTGGAAGATATACCTTAATAGATGAATAATTGAAAAAAATATTAAAATTTTAAAAAATATTTTATTCATAAATTTTTGGTAAGTTATTTTACATGTCCCGCCTGATGGACTCGATCTCAACCTCGACGTAGACCTCTACCAAACACCGACAAAGTAAAAATAAAAAAATATTTTACCTGAGAAAGAAAAATATTTTCAAAAGAATATTTTCAAAAGAATATAAAGTAAATGACAAAGAAGTTAGTTAAATCTTACATGGGATGAAATAATTTTAAATTTTTAACTATTTTAAGAGACATGAATTATAATAGAAAATAATGAAAAAGAGAATTCAGGTTACTATTATCATTTACACGAGACAAAGACAAAGATGATGATTATGGTAAATATATTATTATGTTATAGCACAAAATTTATAAATATTATTATTTTGTCTCTAATTTTTTATTTTTAGTGTTTTTCTTTAAGAGGAGTATTTAGACTCATTCCCAGAGATACAAGTAGTTTTGAGGTCAGGTTGGATCAAGAAAATATCATTATTAGATTAGATTAAGACTGATTCAATTTGAATTGGATTCATCCATGGGTCTTAAGAACTAAGTTTAAACACAATGTCATTGTCTCATTGATATGCTTGTCCAATAAAAAGGTACCATAACTCGTAAATATTCTAACAGTGGGACAAATTTCATGAATTAACAAGTGCAAACACGTCTTAAGGCTAAGCATTTGTCGAATTGAAAAATAAAATTATTATTTTTTTGTGTAAGTTAATAAGTTGATGGGTATATTTTCCCACCAATAACATGATATATATTGTGCATCAATATCTACTCATTACTGTTGTACTTAAATATCATTTCACTCAAATTTTTACATGAAACTTAATTTAAGTGTTTAATTTTTAATTTTTATTTTTATTTTTGAAAAAAGTGTTTAGTTGAGTTATCAAAAAGTACTCTAGTCTCATGGAGATGTGATTTGTGTGAATATTTTTAAATTAATACTTTTGATACTATTTTCATCCTTGCCAATTTATCCGACTTGTATATACGGAATATTTTTCTATGCCGTTCACAATCATTTGCATTAAAGTAATAATAAATCATGTTTAGTAAAGAGATCTAGTGGCAAAATTGATTTAATTTACGTGCATATAAAAGGCGCATGCTTTACCAAACGCACCTTTTCATTACTTGGCTTGTACGCGTCGGCTAAGCCGTAAAACGCGGAAAGCAGAGCGGCTCAGCCAGGATGAAAACAGCTGGAAGAGACGGCAAGCTGTCGATTGTCTGACAATTAATAAAGTGACCTCATTTCTACGCTAAGAGACAACTCTCCCACCATGCTTTTAAAGCGCGTGTCATGCGTGACTGAACTTAGTATTACAGCAATTTTATATACATAGTATAATATTCTATATATATATATATCTATATATATATAATAAAAAATAATAAAAGTGACATTTCTCCCACTGGAAGATGCTTGGTCGCCTTCATATATTTTTTAGGCAAAAGTTGAGAATCAAAGCTAAATGGGTTGCTTACACAAATATGAACCATAACGTGTATGGGCCGGACTCTCCCCTATATGGGTTTTGTCGGTGTCAAACTTTGTTTGTTTGTTTCTTACATATAAAGAAAACTCTGCTGCAGGTCCATGTGTTTGTCATGACAATACAATTTCAATATCCAACATTCCACTCTGTGTTTCTTTCGGAATATACAAATATATTTAAAATTGTTGAAGAAATCATACATAGTATAATTATAAGATTTTTGTTTTCACTGCTTAATTGTTCATTAATATTCTAAACCATTTTAATTAAAAAATTGTCATTCATGTGTCTTCATTTTAATTGTGTGTAGTAAAAATTTGGTGTAAGACTACAATTTCAAGAAAAAAATGATTTAAAATTAAGATGGTACTGAACAATGCTCCAACCAAGCTATTCACAATTAGGGGTGCCATGAATTTTTTAGATAGCATGTCTTTGTGCCACCTTAATTGAGAGTCTACTGCCTAAATTGAAGACCAAATTGAAATTGAGTAGGTGGGTGTACATAATCAAGTTATGCAGTTAGGTGAACTCTTTTGTTAGGCCCATTTGTAAAGGGAAAATTTTCTAAATAAATGACAATTTAGTTGTTCTTTCATTTTCTTTTTTATTAAAAGAAATAGGATTTGAACCCTTGAGTCCTCGTGTTGACAATCAATTGAGAGACGTAGGGTGTGTACTAGTGTAGTGGCTTCACACCCATATCTCTAAGTCGGTTATAATTATTATAGCACGGTTCTTATTTTTAAGATAAGTTTCATCCCCTGATGAAAGACAAATTTATTATCGAACTTGAAGTTTAATCGTTAATGAATTTTATCAACCCTGGTGAAAGACAAATCTATTATCGAGCTTGAAGATTAATTGTTAATGAATTCCATCATCCATGACATTGACCCAATAAAAACCCTTCAACAACTCTTTCTTTGAACTCACTTGAGAATCCTTATATTTTCATATTGCTACATTGCAACTTACTCTCACTAGTCATTGTGGTGTGGAGAACTAAGATGCGATGTCACCACCACCCAGAAAATAACTGAGTGTTGTGAATTTCAACACAACCTAAAAGAAAAGAATAGTAAATCAAGTTTTATATTGAAATAATTAAGTAAAATAGATATAAAGTTATGAGTATTTATCCTTAATTATGTTTGATGGCATACAATTAGAATCTTAAAATTAAAATTGGTGGAATTAGAAAAATTTACTTCAATTCCAAAACTCAAATTTCATGCACGATTACAGTCTGTAATTGTCATATTATTATTATTATTATTATTATTATATATATTTTTTCATGCAACAATAAATCAGGTAGTTTGAGCTCTGCTGACAGTGCAAACATGGATTTGAGTCAACCTTCAAGATTGGTCTATTTGTGGGTTAAAAACCCAAGAAATGTGGACCCAATCCAGCTTGTCTGGGCCCAGATGTATATAGGACGATTCTCTGTTTGACAGTGTGAGGTTTGATTTTGATTATATATTATTTAAACTTATTTTCATTCATCTATTTAATTATATCTTGGCTATGGACAACAAGACTCAACACCGACTCAATCCCTCTCTTAAAATATCATCTTTTAACACTTTTGTCATTGTAAGAAAAACTATGAACGTATATTAAGAATTCAAGTAACAAATTAAGTATTTATTCATGAGGATTAGGGTTTGATATAGTGCAGATTTACGTGAATTTAAGTCCATATCCATATTTAAATGTTGAGAGTGAATTCAAATCAAAATTAAATTTTGCAGAGATCATTCATCTCCGACCCTCCCAAATTAAAAACCAGCTTAATAAAATAAAATATACGTAATTTTGGTTAGATCTCAATTAGAATGGATTTATTTTAGATTACCCATATTTGGTCTTTCAGAAAATATACACCAACTTTTAAAAATAATTTAGATTCAAAATTAAAATAGTTCCATTTCAAGCCAGCAAGAATGTTCACGTTGAAAGAAATCCAGACGGATATATGAAATTTGAAGAAAATAAGCTAGCTAGCAAGAACGACAAAATCTTTAACATGGTTTTTACCCACATTTCAGATGGAATAGAGCAATCCTTTTCTTGACAAAATCCACTCTAACCTCTCCTACGTGCCTATTTCCTATTTCATTTTTCCCCACCTTAAAACAAAAACTGCATCAAGAATTCAATATACTTCAGAAAATTCAGGTAACCTGAGGACCAAAACAACAATTTCAAGGATAGAAGGTCACACCACTGAAAATCTAACATTCAACATAACATTGAGTTCATCATTTTCTCTTCATATTTTTAGAATATTAAACAAAAGTCAGTGCCAAAAACTACCCGATATTCGATACTGAATCCAAGTTTACATATAAACAAATATACAGGCAGATGCCAGTAAATTTATATATAGGTTCTGTCTATAGTAGGGCTCTCTCTCTCTCTCTCTCTCTCTCTCTTGATTTCCTCTCTTTTATTCAGATCAGACCACAAGCATCACGACTCTTTTCATCCCCTTGGCCTTAAATGCAAAGCAACTTGCCCTCAGCATGTCATATCTGGAGACAAGGGGTTTACAACCTGAAATGGAAACTGTTGTCAAGCAACACCACTGAATGCATAAAAGTAGGGAGTTATAATCAATTAATAAAATCTTATACTAATACAAACAGAAAGATTATAGAACTTTAGCCCAATCATTTTTGCCCTGACTAGGCCAAACCACCAGAGCAAATTCAAACAAATTATCAGTTTGAGACTGTATTACGGTTACCATCAAACATTATCCAACCACATATGCCCATCCAAACAAATAGCTGCCAACAGGTTAGGAAGAAGTTCATCTTGCCAACTGTGTACTTTTTTTCTCCCCGTGTCACATCCACCCGTCTGCCCAACCCCCCCTTCATTGGACAAAATTCAAAATAATAGGACGCCACTTCTACATCTTATTCTCAATCATTTGTTCTTTTTGGGGCTAGGCAAGGTTTGGAAGTAAGACCTTTGCCCAGTTCAAATCCCTACCTCTTTAATACTATTTGGGATTAATCACAGAAATAATTTAACACAACCCATCATTTCTAAGCCTGAGCATAGGCTTGAAAATGCTAGGCACAGAAAAGCTCATCTATGGTGACTCAAGCAAACCTTAACCTTCTGAGGCATACAGGTGTATCTACTGGGAACATGCTTAATTTTGAAAACCACGCATGTATACCAAAGTGCACTTCAAAATTTACTACTTTAAAACTCTCTTTAATGAAAGCATAGAAGTTGATATATATGCATGCGTGTGCGTGTGCGTGTGCGTGTGCGTGTGCGTGTGCGTGTGCGTGTGCGTGTGCGTGCAAAACGTAGCTTTTCACATTATCTATCAACAAGCCAGAGCTTCAAAATATGAAATAAGTTCCACTTTTTTCTTTTTTCTTTCAATAGATTAATTTAGCAACATATTTTTGTATATAACATGTAATTTAAATAAAATTGACAATCAACTTGTCAACTAAAGAAATAAGAATTTAAAATTTTAAAAAAATCATCATCAGAACACCAAACATAATCCTATTGAAGTCAATCTAAAGGGCTAATCCAGTGCACAAGGCTCCTGCCACTATAGGGTCTTGAAAGGTTGGATGTATGCAACCTTACCTCTATATGCGGAGAGGTTGTTTCGCTTTTGAATCCGTGACCTTCAGGTCACAATGGAGCATGAGGGAAAAGGGATAAGAAAGAGACTTATGGTAAAACTAGTATTTTGACTCAGAATGTATATCAAAATATGGGTATTAAAAAGGTATTAATAAGAATCCCTAAACCAATGAGAACCACTCACCTTCAGAGATGAAATGCAGAGGACAGATACAACTGCTTTTAAATAAGTCCTATAAGTTAATTTGAAACTGAACTTGCAGCCAAAGCTGCAGTATTGTTGTCATTCAGTGGGGTTCCATGACGAGTCCCTGCATTATTTTGGTTGCTCTGCTCTGTAACTGGATAATCACCCACATCATGTGACACAGAAGCACGGCCAGCTCTACTATTTTCTCTAGTCTCAAGGCGTTCCATCATGCGAGATACACTAGCAATTCCAGCATTCACTTCTCTCCTAACATCAGAACCAATATCTGCCATTGAGGTGCTTCGAGAGAACAGTCTCTCCTTCCACCCTTTAGTACTCTTTGAAATCGACTCTTTGTATCTATCATACAATAGAATTAGATAAATAAACATAATTCAAATTAAGTAACCCAAAAAAAAAAAAAAAAAATCACTCATAAAGGGTGACAGGAAAGAAGTGTTGTTTCTACCTAACTTACCTCATTGACATCGAGCTAAATCGAGATTTCAGAGAATCTGAAAATGACTGCAAATCTGATGGTCCCGCTCTATCTTGATTTGGTGTGAAAGATTGACTAGCAGAGCTTCTATAAGTAAATGATGCATAGTCAGAAAGAGTAATAAGAAATGTGACTCGAGGAACTGAATTTAAAATATAAGGTAACAGTAACGTGATATAATTAAAATATCATCACAACCGATTATTAACAGAGATCCTTTGTCGATTTGTTGGTGTGACGACTGATCCAGATGACGAGGCAGAAATTTGATCAGTTTGAGCGGCAGTGAACTGTGGTTCATCCACACCATCTGTAAGCGGAACAGATGGACTATCTACCGTGATTGCAGGTGGTTCAGATCCACCTCCCACCGGAGCCAAAGAAGCAGAAACATGGGCAGCAGGAGGTGCATTTGGTTGAGGTGAAAACACCAAGAACTGTGGACGACCATGAGCAGATGAACGGCTCCTTGAGCCCTCCCTCCGAGCAATGTGGTGGGTCCTTCCCATTGCAGCAGCAGCAGCCAAGTGCTGGATAATACGTTCTTCAAGTTCAGCATCATTGACACCCATTGGTAACTGCATTACAATGAGAAACATCAGAAACTATAACCTGAGGAGGCTTGTATGTGTTTATTGCCTATTGTGGAAACAAATAATTTCACTCAGCATTGATGGACAACAGACATGCTGTAATTCAAAATCCCCAAGGGTGGGATGATGAAATATTGTGGCATTTCTTGATGGATTGAACCTTAAGCTCCTCTCCCTTTCAACGGCTTCAAGCAATTCTTGACTGCCATAACATGCAAAATAGGTAATGCCGTCAAAATTTAAAGAGCAACAATAAAATAAAAGTAGGGGCAAGACTTGCCCTACTCACCAGTGAGTAGGTCATCCCTACTGACCATTGACGTGGTCGAATCACAAATGCACAAATAATTTCTAATTACAAAAGCAGGAAAGTGATAAATAAGGAAACCATGGAGGGTGACTGAATTTATTCCAAAAAAATTATTATCCTTATTTATCACTTTCCTGATTTTATAATTACGAATTATTTGTACATTTGTGATTGGACCACATTAGCAGTAAGTAGGGAAGACCTACTCACCGATGAGTAGGCAAGTCTTGTCCTAAAAGTAGAGATGTGAAAACAGAGAGGCCGTAATGAACCTGGTGGGATCCTTCAGGCTAATGGGTTGCCAACACATTGGACAATGAGAACTTCTCTGGCACCTACAAGAAAAATAATAATAAAGAAGAAGAAGTTAAAGTTTAAATTAAAACTCTTTTTTTCTTTTTAATGATCAACTTTACATTTTCAAGTTGACACTACTGAAAAAATTATCCTTGCATACAAGATCAAAATCAAATATTCTGCCAATCAATAGTATTTGAAGGGGGAACTTGAAGGATGACATGCACGAACTTTTCTTCTTCTTCTTCTTTCTTTCTTTCTTTCATTTTTATTTTATTTTATTTTTTTGTGTTGGGGAGGGGGGTTCTCGGGATGACGTACAAGTTCTTATGGTCGAACTCCTAAAAGATTTCTAGACAAGCATAGAGTCCATTTAAGAAAATGGGTTCTTATTTTATGATACTGAATGGTGAAAGACTAATTGCTTGACTTACCAGCAACCAAAAAATAGGGCCAATTGAATTGGTTAAATTACTTGATGAAATAAAGGTATGAATATACCTACTGGGGAAGAAAAAATATGTAGTACTTATAATATTGACACACACCTACCTGCAGGCCTCTCCAGCGATCATAACCAAACAAAAGATGTCGTGAGCATGCCCGCGCGCCGGGGGAGGGGGGGGGGGGGGGGGGGGGAAGGAATTTGTATGGAGCAGATGATGTTTACTGGTCTATGTATTTGGTATTTAAGGAATCCACAAAATGTTCTTTGAACCTAGAATTTATATAGACCCACCAGATCTTAATCCAAGGAAAACCCATCCAATGGCAGTAATTTTTATGAAAACATTTTATTAAATTTCAAAATTGGTAGCAGAAATCAAATGCTAGATCTGAGTGCTGGGACAATCATATGATAATTTCTAGTGTCAAATTCTAAGGAAATCCAAACATCAAAATTATAATCACCTTATCAATTACAAGGAATTTCAAGTGTGGAGCTCATTTTCAAGCAACAAAAAATGGACTAAAGTTAGGGAAATGCAATGCGGCCAAAATGAGGAAGCCCCCCTGGACTATCACAAATCCGCATTTTACCCCCTTGAACTACAAAAATGAACAAGTCAGTACCACAACTATCACAAATCGTACAAATTAACCCTGCAACTCAATTCCGGCCACTTTCCGGCCCACAAGGTCTACACGTGACTTTTTTTTTTTAATTCCGAAATTACCCTCAAATACTAATGAATATTATTATTTATTTATGCATTTTAACTTTTCTGCCACGTAATAAGGTAAAAACCGAGAAGCTCACAGCTGAGTTCTCCTTCCCGCCGGTGCCGCGAGCCTTCACAACCCCGTTCTGTAACTTCCCTTCGTCCGTCCACGAGGCTTCTCTGATTAGTCAATTCCTCCTTCCTTTCCCCTCAATTTTGTGATCTATCAACATAAAAAAGAAGAAGAAAGAGAGCACAAGAACACCAAACATAACAGCAAAATTCGATGACTCCGGAGCCGGTGGAGCATTTAGATTGATAGGTGGTTGACCACCAATTTTGAAATCAGTTTTCCGCCCGCAAGGTCACAACCGACCTCTCCGCAGCCCATCGCTGGCCCATGCCGCCATCGCCATCGCTGCACCAGCAGGCCGAACCATTCCTCTCCACAGCCCATCGCCGCCATCACCATCGCTGCACCAGCCACCTCTGATATGATTGGATCAAAACCGGTAGTTTTTTTCATCAATATAAATATATGTAAATATATATGTGTGTGTGTGGCTACTGTTACTTTTTTTCATCAATATAAATATATGTAAATATGTGTGTGTGTGTGTGGTGGTGGTGGTGGTTGGGGGGCTACTGTTGCTGCTCAGGCAACCTCGCCGCTTCAGCGCCTGTGCCCGCTTCAGCATCGCCATTAAAGCATTGGATGGGGGTCCACGGCGGAAGTGGTGGTTTGGGTGAAGAATTAGGATGGGATCGAATACAAGCTTGTCGGAGGAAGCCAGACGACGACGCCAGAAGAGTCGCCACCACGTGAAGCAGCGTAGTCCTTGCCGCCGATTGGTGATGGCACATCCTGCCTTAATTAATTTTAAATTAAAATTTTTTTTTCTTTCAATAATCATATTTAGGGTTGAGGAGTAACATAAGCGGCCGCCACAACCAAAAGAGTCATCTTTCTCCCTTCCTTCGTTCACCATCTCACAGCCAGCCATGGTCGATCCAAACATTTCTCTCTTCCTCTATCTCTATATATGTATTCATTTATATTTATATTTCTGTCGCAAAGAACGATTATCTGAATGAAATTTCCTCATCAGATTAATTCCACAGAAGAACCGGATAGAGATCTCCAAATACCTCTTCCAAGGGGTTTTTTTTTTTTTTTTCTTTTTTTTTATTTTTCGAGTTTTATATATATATAAATTTGAGTCTCACGTTCGATTTGTGATGGCACATCCTGCCGATTTGTGATGGCGAAAGGGGAAGGGGAAGGACAAGCAAGTGAAGGGAAGAGAAGAAGTCCGATTCCGGGGAGTCCGAAGGCGGCTGTAGGGGAAGTTTGCAGCGGAGATTCGAGACCCGTCTCGGCAAGGTGCCCGGCTATGGCTGGGAACATTTGACGACTTGAAAACAGAGGGGCATTGAGGGTATTTCACGTGATTATTTTTTTTGTATTTTTTTTTTTACAATGGGTAGTTTTGTAAATTTACAATGAAGTCGGCCGAAAAGTGGCCGATATTGCATTTCAGGGGTTAATTTGCACGATTTGGATAATTGTGGTACTGACTTGTTCATTTTTGTAGTCCAAGGGGTAAATTGCCGATTTGTAATAGTTCAGGGGGGTTGTTTGCACTTTTGCCTTAATTTTATCATTACAAAACTTACAAGACCTAAATGAATACTTTATACAAATATTATAATGGGTTAACTGCAAAAAAAACCCCTGAACTATGGGGTTTTGCAACTAACCCCCCGGAACTACAAGAAACCCCCTTGAACTTTCATTTTTTTGCAATTTGCCCACTCAGACCACCGGAAAAGAAAAAAGACAAATTTGCCCTTATTAAAAAACGACGCATTTAAAAATAATGTTGACTTAAATTGCTGACATGGCAAATTGAATCTCACCAACCAATGGGAGAGCGACAACCTACCGAATAGTGTGATGAAATTACAAAAGAGCCCTTAATAAAATAAAATATATATATATATATATATATATATATAAAGCCTAGTTCTGAGTTGTCGGAGATACAGCGACGTTATTTTTACAGGGTTGGTTCCAGTTCTGTCTGCAGGATCTGCCAGGGCTTCGTCTACAGAGAAAGCGCTCGAGTTTGCTCTACAACATGCCAAGACCAAAGGACTCTGCAAGGTGGGGATTCCGTTGTGGCCTTGCACCATGTCGGAACAACATCAGTAATCAAGGTTGTGACCGTGAACTGAAGTCAAGATGGTCTAGATTTTGGATGAAAATAAATGACAAAAAATGCCCCAATTTATAACAGAACTTGCTTTCTCTCTCCTATTCTCTATCTATTTATATAAACATATATATATATATATATATATATCACGATATTTACTGGAAAACGGATCTGATTGTTGTCCTAGGGTAGCATGGTACCGTTCCTCACTCGATTCCAGAATGTTTAGAGGAAAGAATGACTCATCTTTGATATAATCGGAGTTGGAGCGATCGGAATAGAGTTGCCGAAGACGGAGATGGAGTTGCCAGCTCACCACCACCATTAACGTGAAGAATTTTCCTCCTACCGAGACCTCTGCATCAACAAACTTCGGATCGAGAATCTGTGCTCACCACCAATCCTCACCACTCGCCGAACCGAAAAATGGCAAACCCAGTTCGGTACTGATCTTCCCTTGCTCCACCGCCGTTCTTAATCACGGTCTTCTATTGTTGCTGCCCATCAAGCACCAACATCCTCTTCACCATCATCGGTGTTCGTGGCTGAGGCGAAGGGCAATTAAGGCCGTCTGATGATCGCTCGTTCCCTCTCTCTATGCTCATACCTGTTGATTTTAGCACCGCCGCAAGCACCCCGCTCCGGTGAGTTTCAACTGACCAGTAGCGACCTCCGTTCATCCCGCTCCAGTGAGTTTTGACTGACCCAGCAGAGAGCTCCAAGCTACCATGACCCAGCAAAGGTGAGTATTGACAGAACCGCGAGCTCACAACCTGTATATATTCTCCGGTGACCAAACCAGCCGGTTAAAGATATGTTTGGATAATCACAAGGTTAAAGCCATGTTTGGATATTGGAGTCAAATGTTGGAAATTTAAGGGTACTCTTGTCCTTTCATGTTTATAAGGGTAGTGTAGTCTTTTAAAAAAATTCAACCAAATTTAACGTCTAATTGTCACCGGAACTTGGCCGGATGGGGTGATCTGCAACTCTTTTTGCATGGGTTTTTTGCATTTTTTGTAGTTTAGGGGGTTAGTTGCAAGTTTTGCCATAGTTCAGGGGGGTTTTTTGCACTTAATCCTACTATAATTTAAGAAAAATTTTAACCATTACATACACTTGAAAATTTAATTTAGTAAGTCTATATAGAGTATACAAGTTGAAATAAAAACTTTATATCCAAGTATAAACTTATTATAACTTGAAAATATATACTTATTAACTTTTTATATATTTTATGCTTATAATTAATTATATATTGTATGCAATTATTAATAATTATATACTTAATTTTTTTTCTGGTAAAGTGTATAATTAACTTTAAAGTACTGACTTAAAAATAAGAACAAGTATCAGTATAATCAACTTTTAAAGAGTATATAATCTAAAATTTTAATTAATTATGAAATGAAAAATCAAGCTTTTTCTTAAAGGTGGTGCAAGCCAGCATGAACTGAAAGATCAAAGACCATGCGAGAAAACACCAAGGAAAAAGACCCCGGCTTCAAGTCCTTGAAAAAAAATACTGAAATCATTAACTTTAAAAAATAAAAACTTAATTTTATCGTTTACAAAACTTACAAGACCTAAATGAATACTTTATACAAATACTATAATTTAAAAATAATATATACTTATAACCAAGTATAAACTTATTATAACTTGGAGATAATTTATACTTATTAACAATTTATATATTTTATGCTTATAATTAATTATATTTTGTATGCAATTATTAATACTTATATACTTAATTTTTTCTAGTAGAGTGTATAATTAAGTTTAAAGTACCGACTTAAAATTAACTACAAGTATCATTTGATGAGTATAATTCACTTTTAAAGAGTATATAATCTAAAATTTAAATTAAGTCTATACATATATATAACAATAAGTATTAACTTAAAACGATTTATACTTATTGAGAGTTTATATGTCCTAAATTTTAATTACTTTTTACATACTTCATATCTCTATTTCAGATTCCTTCTTTAGTGGCTGAGAGAATTGAAAGATTGCAGTGCAACTTTCTTTGGGAGGGGAAAGGAGAAGAGTTCAAGTTTCACCTGGTTCGGTGGGATCAAGTGTGCCGCCCAATTCGGTTTGGAGGCTTAGGGTTACGGAGGTTGTTGCCTTTTAATAAGGTTCTCCTTGATAAATGGCTCTGGAGGTTTGGGATCGAGAGGCATTGGTTATGGAGGAGAGTTATTGCTAGCAAATTTGGGGAAAGTCGGAGGGGGTGGTGCTCTCTGGCGATGCGTGGTCCAAGGGGGGTGGGAGTTTGGCATTTCATTCAGAGGGGTTGGGATGACTTCTGCAAGCATGTTCATTTTTGTATTAAAGATGGAAGGAGGATCAGTTTTTGGAAGGATCTCTGGTGTGGGGAACTCCCTCTTGCTATCGCTTTCCCACGGCTCTATAGGATTGCTTCTCACCGACAAGCCATGATTGTTGACTGTTATCATCTTGATAATGGGAGACTGTCTTAAGATGTTCAGTTCAAGAGGCATTTTCAGGATTGGAAGATCGAGGATGTTTCTCGTTTTCTAGAGCTGTTGTATAGCCAAGTGATTTCTTTTGGGGAGCCGGATTGGTGGTTCTGGATTCCTAACTTGCAAGCCCGTTTTGAGGTTAGGTCCTTTTTCAAATGCCTTTCGGTTAGTCACGGAGAACACTTCCCTTGGAAGTCTATTTGGTGGTCCAAGGCTCCCCGCAAGGTCGCTTCTTTTGCTTGGACCTCTGTCCTGGGTAAGATTTTAACCCAAGATAATCTGAGGAGAAATCAGGTGGTGGTTAATCATTGTTACATGTCTTTGTGTAATAAGGACTCAGTTGATCACCTCCTTTTACATTGCAGCATGGCCAGAGATTGTTGGGATTTGATGCTTCGATTATTTGGGGTCCATTGGGCTATGCCTTATTCCTCTAGAGGGTTGATTGAGGCTTGGAGAGGCATCTCTGTTGGGGCTAGCATTAAGGATGCTTGGAGGGCTACGCCGCTTTGTATCTGGTGGTGTATTTGGCTTGAGAGAAATAGAAAATATTTTGACGGAAAAAAGAAACATGTTTCTATGCTTAAGTTCTCTGTTATTTTTACTCTTTTTTGTTGGGTTTCAGGGAGAGATTATAAATCTATGGAGGAAATTATTATTTTATTGGCTTCTCTGAAGGTCTAAGGCGCCCTTTGGCCCTTTTGTTTTTTTGGGCTCCGCTCCCCTTTTGAGCGTTTTTAATAAATTTTTACTTATCAAAAAAAAAAAAAATAATTACTTTTAAGTTCTTACTTTAAAGGGAATAATATATATGTGTACTATTAATGTGCAATCCAATTTTATCTCTATTCCAACATTTTTTTTTTTGGGAAAGTATTCTTATTCTAACGTATCGGAACTTAGAAATTAACCAAATTTTACCGAAAAAAAATTTAAAATTGACATACTTTTGTTTTTTCTTTTCAAATTGTACTTTTATTGTTTAAAAGTTTTTAAGATATCATTCAGTAGGTACCAATTCTTTGGTCAATAAGGGCATCCGGTGTGCACTTGCAAAATTATCTATCTACTTTTTGAAAGTCGTGAAAAGAAAAGCAAGTGGTGTGCAATTGGAAGAGAGTGTCATGTCAGCGGGCCCCACTTCTTATTCTCTATCACAATATCCGCATATAGCCAATGAAGTGAAAAATCCTTAAAAGCTTTGCTTTTTTATTTTTGCAAGTCTAGCAACCTTTTTTCTCTTTCTCACCTTTTGTTTTATAATAAAATAATAAAATGGATAGATAATCTTAAGCTACACACCATGGGTCATAGTTAGTAAAAAAAAGATAGATAATCTTGCAAGTGCACACCGGATGCCCTTAATGTTCTCCACTTCATTAGTTATATGTGGATATTGTGATAGAGAATGAGAAGTGGAACCCGCTCACATGGCACTCTACTTCAATTAAACACCACCTGCTTTTCTCTCCACTTTACATAGATATTGTCTATTCAAGCTTGCACAACGGATGCCCTATGTGGCAATAGAAGTGTTATGGACACATCAACATCCCAATCATCCCTACATGGAAAGTGTAGCGGGTGGACGCTTGCCCATTTACTCAAAAACTTAAGCTGTTGGGTAGTGTTACCCACCCATTTATACCCCATTCACTTTCCATCCGGATCCAATATTGGACAACTAGCCCTTGTAACATTCTCCCCCACCCGATCTCGCAATGTCCTTGTTGCGGTCGAACAACCTTACCTACCCGGGCGGCTCACCCGGACGCCTTCTAGGCCGGGCGCTTGGCGTGGCACCGGATCAAGGACTGAGTCTGGTTCTGATACCAACTGTAAAAGGTGAGCGCTTGCCCATTTACCCAAAAACTTAAGTTATTGGATAGTTCTGCATACCCACCCACGTATACCCCATTCACTTTTCCATCTGGATCCGATATGGGATAAATACCCCTTGTAACAGAAAGCCTATACATCTAACAAGTCTTGAGGACTTCCTACGGATTTTATCACACTTCATCAACTTGTTTGGAAGACCTCAAGGAAACCCACCACTATTCTACTGAATAACCTCAAGGAGTTTACTGCGGGAAGTGGCATCTCGACCAAGCCACCTAAGTTGGAAGCAAGGCCTAGGATCCCAGGGGAGTTTGGCCTAGAGGCTGGAGTTTAGGATTTCTTAAGGAACACCCATTCCATGGGACTGTTCCTCGAACGGGTCCAAAGATCATTTAGGGCTTAGCAGTTCCTTGAGATAGCCCTATGTCCTCCACAACTCATATCCTTTCTTTTATTGTTATTATTATTATTTTTGATAAGTCTTTCTTTTATTGTTATTCTTTCCTTATCTTTTCATCTTGTTGCACCACCATAATTAGACTAATATAATTTGATATAACCACCTTATTGGACTTTGGTTTGGTCTCTAACAATACCCAATGGTTTTTATTCCACTATTATACAAAGCGCACCCAACACACATCTAGAGGAGAGGAGATACCACCTCTCGCCCTCCTCTCACTTCACTGTGACCCAGCTCTAAAGGTTCTGTGGCCCAGTCTCTCTCTCTCTCTCTCTCCCTCTCTCCACTATGGCCAAGCGCCACAATCTCTCTCAGCTCCTTCACTCCACTAAGGCCCAACACCATGGTTTCTCTCTTCACTTCACCGTGGTCCAGTGAGGTCTCTGTAAAAAGATTGAAACTGCTCATACCTTACAAATTTTCTCCATGCTATAACCTAGGCCCGAAAAAAAATTGATCTTATTCCGGATCAGAGGTGATCTTGGTTCAATCCATTAAAAAATTATCTACTCATAACTGATCCAATACACAAACTGATCACTTCTATTAAATCCAAATCCAGCTTGGTTAACTATCAGATGTCAATTTAAAAATCCAATTCAATCTGAACACGCAGGCATTCCCAGAATTCAAACTCAAATATGCATTTCTCAACTTCAGCTTCCAAATGAATTCTTCTAAAGATGGGAAAATAAAAAACTTCTATGAACCACAAGTTGAAATTCTAAAAGCTTTAACCTGTACCCTATAATAAAAAATGAAAAATGAAAGACCACGTCTATTTTACAGTCCACCAAAACTATTTGAATTTTTTTTTCCAATACGAATAATAATAATGAGATTTAACTACAAGAATGATATACATATCTTCATTTTAATTAAAAAATATATACATATAGAATAAATCAAAAAGGTGCATAAATAAATATATATATATATATATAGAGAGAGAGAGAGAGATGAGACGGGTTGATTGTTCAGAAAGATGAAGCCTTAAGGTACCCATCAGTCAACCCCAAGAAACCCACATGCATAAGATAGTTGAGAGGAGAAGTAGCAAGAGAAAGAGAGGAAAGAAAAATCCAGAGATTGAGATTTGAAAGAGAGAGAATCTCTGAGAATCTTTTGCTTTATATATATGAAGTATAAATCATTAGGTAGATATAAAACTTGGTAATATTAAGAATATTTTGTCTTATATTTGTTGTACGAACACAAGAAAACAATAAGGTAGGGTGATATAATATATTATTTATATATACAAAAAGTTGATTTTTGCTCATTTTCTCGTTTATGTTAATAAACATAGCCCATTTAAAATACCAATATCCTTTAGAAACAGGAAAAATAAACCCCCACAATGATGCATGAAAGGTTTTTCCTATTTCCTCTAAAATACCAATCTGTAGACAAGACAAAATATAGTTTAATATTACTGGTAAACTCACATCAATTGATTGCCTAGGGAATAGAAAAAATTGAGAAATGAATAATCAACAAAAAAATAATAATAATAAAATAAAATAAAATATTGTAGGACTGGGATACTACCATTCAAGAACGCATTGAAGATGAAACTCATGCTTGCAATTAGTCACCTGCAGTACATGTTTTAATTGGGTTTGAGATAACAAAAAAATAAAAAAATTACAACTATAATACTAGAAATTTCATAGTATTTTACCGTTGAAGGATCACTCTCACAGAAGGCCTCAAGGCATATGCTACAAGCATCATCACATGCATCTTGAATTCCCCCTTCCACAAAAGCTGCAGCTGATGTTAAATGACCCTCGGTCTTCTTGACCTCATCCATCCCAGGAACCTTAACAACACAAAAATCCCCCCACAAAATTTTACATCAGAAGAGCGCACATAAAAAGTTTCCCAAGTCACAATTTTTTTTCTTTTCTTTTTGGGGTGGGAAATATGATTCACAGTCAGTTCCCAAAATGATTTATCTAAAGGGGGAAATGAGAAAAACAATTTGAAAAAAAAAAAAAAAAAAAAAAAAAAAAAAGAGAAGAAAAAAAAAAGAACAAACAAATAAATAAACCAAACATAGAAGTGCCTATATTACACATATTCTTTTTTTTTTTTCTTTTTTTTTTTTTTGATAAGTAACCTATATTACACATATTCATCCTAATTATAAAAGGGGAACAGTTGAAAACCTAGTAATAGAGTTAGGCAAGAATTCATCTCTCTGAGTATCCGTAGTTACCGAATGTAGTATCCTATAAGAAGTTATCGGTACTTACGAATACAACCCACAAAAACAAGTAAAATACTTTTTTTTTTTTTTTTTTTAAATAATAAAAAGAACCCAAAAATTAAAAAAACAAAATTTAACGATCTCTTACCGAGAACTCAACCAAAGTCAATTCCTAAAATCTATAATCAACCGTATCACAAACCTATGATATATCAAAAGCTAACCCGTTAAAAACTATACCTCCGTGATCCATCCTTATTCAGATAAATAATGAAAACATAAAGCCCTTCTTAGTAGACAATGTAATTAAAATTTTCCTCAATAATATAACAATCACCACAAAAGACCCAAATTAATTCCTCCAAATAAAAAGAAAAAATAAAAGCAAATCACCGTTTTGGGCAAAGGATCAAAACAAGCATACAAACATATCCAGAAGTAATATAAAACTGAACCAAAGATGATAGATAGATCTCTAAATTTTGGCGCGTTTACCTCCATTTGTAACAGAAAGACGTTCCAGAAAGTGGGTCAAGAATCCGAGACAACGCCCATGAAATTGAAGATCGAGCGTTGAATTCTTCCTTGGAAAGGGAATGCTAAAGTTCCGTGGAAAGGAATTGGTTCACAGGGATGATCAGAGAACCCTAGAACCAAGGGGTAGAGAGAGAGGGAGAGAAATGATTAGAGGGAGGGAGGGAGGGAGGGATTGAGGAGAGAGGAAAGAGGTGAGAGAAGAAATGTCCGCCTTTGCCTTTATTTATCCTTTTTATTTGCTTTTTTTAGTTCCCATTTGTGTTGTCAAAGTTCCATTGGCATATAAGATGGGGGTCGTCTCTAATGTCTCTTTACTTCTAAAATAATTGGCTCTCTCTCTCATACATGAGGGATACAAATCCAATTTTGAGGTCCTCAATTATGACCACCCTATCACCATTTTTCTTTTTTCTAAATTAATTTTGTCTTACACTCACACTATGTAATCATTGTCGTAATCACAGTAAGCTAGTAGAAATTTTATTTACTCTTTTATACTTTATCTTCATCTAATCTAAAAAGTTTTTTCCTTTGAAATACTTTGTACACATGGAAGAGAATTTTCTATAATGTCTATTATATTTATTTAGCGGGTCATATTATTATGTATTAATATCTAATTAATTAATAATACTATGCCATCAAAATAACAAAAATATTAAAATATTTTTCATACGGACCCTCCTAAAAATGGTGGCAAAAGGGCTCAGGCCCCTGTCTCCTTGAAAGAAAGAAGTCATGCCACTTGAGTGGCTAGTAGACACTAATTTAACATATATTTTCTTTTCACAGTAATTTAATTGTAACCTATAATTCTGTAACAATTTATTACTTAGGCTTGTTAATTAGAGCTTATGTCATACTTCTTTGTCTACCAATATAAAAATTACATAGAATAGCTCATAAAGATGGTTAATCTTGCTCGCTGTAGATTTAAATTGTTCATAAACTAATTGATTGTAGTGGGATTGGTTTGTGCTCCCTAATCATCATGACAAGCTGTCAAGGTGGCTACCAGGTGACTACAATGTTTCATCAAGATATTAGCAATGCAAGTCTGCAGGGACTTTAGTGCTTAAGAATGGTCTAAAACTTATTGGTCAATGGAGGTATTCAAATGTACGTGTTGAATGTTATTCCGGTCTATTAATTTCATTCCTATGTCTAGTCATCATTCAAGATATTCAGTGTTTTATTAATAAAAATTCGGGATTTAATTTAGTTTGATGCTCAAGAATAAGTGATTTTGCAGTGGCTAGTGTAGCTTTCGTGGCTGTTAAATGTAATTCACGAGATTTTTTTTTATGCCAAGTTAAAAAAAAATGGTTGAATTGAAATCAAATACAAATTCTTCAACTCAAGTCTCAAACACGCTTAATAATTTTTTATTACTTTTATTAATTCGAGTTTTGTTGATTTAAATTAGATGTGTCCTTTTAAATGGGAGGACTAAAAAAATGACCCTTAGTATTTGTATTTGCCAAAAAAAAAAATTATGGATGATTTATACAATGCTAGTAATTAATAGCAAGCATTTTAAGAAATCAACAACCGTCTCGTTTAGATAATTCTTTTCAAGATCATGCTTAAGGATTTTGGAGATGAAAAAAGATAATGTTTGGTGGGAAGAATTATTCTTCTTCATTTTTGTTGATCTCACACTCCTAATTAATGACATATGATGCTGCATAGTTCCTTTATTCAGATAGAAGCAACAAAAAGTCCTCCTTGTTTATGGTTTCAAGTAAGCAGAAAAAGCAACTGTTAACTATTGGTGGAATTAATAGCGGTCCCTTCTCTTCTACTTTTTTGTTTGCTATACATGCAAGACAAAGAAGGTCACTATGAAATAGTATATTCTTTTGTTTTCATATATTGTCCATGAAATTTCAGGTCAATTTGCAGAATGGGACCGCCTCAAAAGATGATCAGTTAGGCATACAGAAGGGTCACAATTTGCTTTTATCCAGTTTTCCTACTAACCATGCAGCATTAATTCTAGTGAATGTTTTTAGAAGTACAGCATTTTGCATAGTAGTGTGGTCTTGTTATCTATTCACACCGTGTAGATATTGTGAGCCTGCGGTTTTAATTGAGGTATTCACATATATGTTTTGACACTTTTCTTAAATGAGACGTCAACAAGTTCTCTATTTCAGGGCACATTGTTTGATGGGCAAGAAGTAAGAGTAAAAAGATTGTCCAGCAATTCAATACGAGGATTTGAGTAACTAAAAATGAGATTACACTGAGTCTGTACTGCAACATGTGACTCTGGTCACACTAGTAGGTTGCTGCATCGAAGAGGAAGAATTTTTTTCGATCTATGAGTATATAGGCAACAAAAATTTGAATTTCTTCTGATTTGTGGTTTGCATTCTAGTCTTCTCAAATTCAACCTATCTAAAATTTATATCCTGGCCACTTTTATATTATTCCCTACAACATTAAGCATTATTTGCTAAGTCTAATTTTTCCATATTCTCTGTAATAGAGGCGGTATACTGCACTATCCAGCAGTTTAAGTTTTTTATAAGCCTCCAAATATGTTACCGCTATTATCATCGGATCGGATGAAAAATTGTCACGCATAACGTTGAATAATGATTTTTGCGTGAAGACTAGGGCACACATATATTCAACCCCAAATGGTACGTTTCTTAAATGAAAAGTCCAATGTTCGAGTGCTTGTCAACATCAAATGAAATTTCTCGCCGCCTCACCTCTGTGGAATGTGGACTGAGTAATTCTCTCCTGTTAGTCTATCTACAAGTCCGGTCTCTCTCTCTCAATCAATAAAACCTTGATCAATTGTTTATGGTGGTGATCGTATAGTTTGTGTGGAAGATACTTTTTATTATATTAACAATGGGTGTGGGCAAAACTAGGCCAAGGTCCTCCGTTCTCCTTCATAGTCGTGTATTATTCTTTTTCTTGTTATGGTTTGAAATCAATCTTCTCATAGTGGCTGAAGACACCATCTCAGCAGGTCATTCTCTCTCTGGGAAGCAGACTATAATATCACAAGGAGGCAAGTTTGAACTTGTTTTCCACACACCAGTCACTTCTCATAAATTTTACTTAGCCATCTGGTACAAAAACATCCCCGACAAAACAGTGGTTTGGGTTGCAAACAGAGACATACCTCTCCTTGATGTTACATCAGAGCTGAGATTACTCGAAACCGGCAATCTTGCTCTATTTGATCACTCAATAGATCACCCTATTTGGTCCACCAATACCACTTCCATGGTCCAAAACACTACAGTAGCAGTCCTCCTTGATACAGGAAATCTTGTGTTGAGGGATGGTTCCAATCCCCGTGTTGTGTTTTGGGAAAGTTTTGACCACCCAACTGATACTTGGCTTCCTGGAGGAAGGCTTGGATCGAATAAGGTCACAGGCGAGGAACAAACACTTTCGTCGTGGATAGCTCCTCAAGATCCTGACGATGGTGCTTATTCTTTAGGTATGATCAATGTGAATGGAACAGACCAATTACAGTTGCGGTGGAAAAACTCCACGCGGTATTGGACTAGTGGAGATTGGAATGGGAATGGGTTCATCTCGATTCCTGAGTTGGGATCATCCAGCAATACTTCTGATTTTCGCTACATTACAAGCAAGAATGAAAGCTATTTCACTTACTCAGTTATAAATAGTACTTCTTTAATATCAAGAATTGTGCTTAATTCTTCAGGGCAGATCAAGCAATTGATGTGGAGTGAGGGTAGTCATCAATGGGAATCGATTTGGTCAGAACCTAAAAATCCATGTGAAGTTTTTTCCAAGTGTGGAGTTTATAGCAGTTGTGATCCAGAAAAACCAGCTGGGACTGAGTGCAGGTGTTTGGATGGTTTTGATCCTGAGAATGAGGAAAATTGGCTGGTCGGTAATCGAACTGGAGGGTGCGTTAGAAGGATCCCTCTGCAATGTGGGACTAATGGAGAAAAGGATGGATTTTTTTCAATCCAAGATTTGGATAAGTTGCCTGTAAATTCTGAGTCGATATTAGCAACTCAGAGCACTAAAGAATGCAAGATTGCATGCTTAAAGAGATGTGATTGTTCTGCTTACACTTATGATGGTGGGTGCTTGTTATGGCATGGGGATCTAATGAATTTACAGCAAACCACCACTAGTGGAAGCAACAAAAGCGCCCTCAATCTTCGTCTTGCAGCAGCCCAGCTGAAGGATTTTCAAGATAAAAAATGTAATGTTTTGTAGGGAAGAATTAATCTTCATCTTTGTTTCACTCACATTCCTAATGACATATGAAGCATAGTTCCTTTTTTTTTCAGATAGAAGCAGCAAAAAGTCCCGGTTTATGGTTTCAAGTAAGCAAAAAAGGCAACTGTTAACTATTGGAGGAATTAATGGTGGTCTGTTATTGCTTCTCTTATGCTTCTTCGTTTGCTATACATGGAAGAGAAGTAAGTTCACTATGAAAGGTATTCCTTCACTTTCATATATAGCCATGAAATTTCAAGTAGATTTGCAGAAAATAACCAGCTTTTTCTTATGAACTAGGGAAAAGAAGTAACAGAAATCAAGATCTATTTCCATTTGGTCCATCTAAAACGACCTCAAAAGATGATGAGTTAGGCATGCAGAAGGGTCACAATTTGCCGTTATTCAGATTTGCCACCATAGCAGCTGCAACTGATAACTTCTCTGCTGAAAACAAACTTGGAGAGGGAGGGTTTGGACCAGTCTACAAGGTAATACCACACAGCATTTGTGAATACATAGAAACATACACAAATATAAACCACATTTGTTGCCTGCAATTAGTTATGCAAAACTCCTCAGCATATAGTAAGTCTAGCAATTGATACTCTGTTGCTGCCTAAAGTCAGAAAAACGAACGTGTTCTCTATTGCAGGGCACATTGCTTGATGGGCAAGAAGTAGCCGTAAAAAGACTGTCCAGCAGTTCCATACAAGGATTTGAAGAATTCAAAAATGAGATTACACTTATATCTGAACTCCAACATGTGAATCTGGTCAAACTAGTGGGTTGCTGCATTGAAGAGGAAGAAAAAATTTTGATCTATGAATACATGGGCAACAAAAGCTTGGATTTCTTCTTATTTGGTTTGCATTCTAATCTTCTCAAATTCAACACATCTAAAATTTATATCCCACTTTTCTTTATTGAATATATGTTCCAAAACACCATGTCCTACAGCATCAAACATTGTATCCCACTTTTCTTTATTGATATATATATATATATATTCCAACACTCTATGTCCTACAGCATCAAAACATTACTTGTCATTTACAAATTCTCACTCTAAAGATGAAACAGATCCAACCAACCAAGTGCCATTGAATTGGACAACACGCCAGCAGATTATTGAAGGAATTGCTCAAGGGCTACTTTATCTTCACAAATACTCTCGATTGAGAATCATCCATAGAGATTTGAAAGCTAGCAACATTCTGTTGGATGATCATATGAAACCCAAGATATCAGATTTTGGGATGGCAAGAATTTATGCAACAAATGAATCCAGGGCAAATACGAATAGAATTGTTGGAACACTGTAAGCAAAAGAATCACTTTCTAATTTGTCTTTTACCAACCATTTGCACCTGCCATCATCACAAATACAAAGAATTCTTCATAGGTAGCAGTACTAATGCATTGGTTCAAATGATGAAACCAGTGGTTACATGCCTCCCGAGTACATGGTGCAGGGCATTTTCTCTGTAAAATCTGATGTCTTTAGCTTTGGCGTTTTACTGCTTGAAATCATCTCTGGAAGAAAAGCCAGTAGCTTCTATCAACCAGACCACTACTCAAATCTTCTAGTATATGTCAGTATCTGAGATCAAAATCTCATCCCCTTTTTCTGCTCTCATTGTCCTTTTCCATGTTTGTATTGCTTTAAGATATATATAATTCAACTTTAAACACAAACTGGTGCTGATAAGATGAATTTTTTCAGACATGGGAACTGTGGAAAAAGCGTAAATTTTCGGAGATGACGGATCCAAGTATGAGAGAGAGACCTTCTGAAGTTGAGCTAATTAGATACATCAATGTGGGACTCTTGTGCGTTCAAGAACATGCATCAGACAGGCCTATCATGTCCGATGCTATCTACATGCTTAGCAATGAAAGTTTACAACTGCCAATACCCAAAGGACCTGCATTTGTTATGAGAACAAGTGATGTTAAGGCGGGTTTATCTCCTAGTAGGCCTAGATCTTGTTCATTGAATAATGTAACAATTTCAGAGATGGAAGCCAGATGATTACATGTAATCTAGAAATTCCTATTGTTTGACTTCTTCTGAAAAAGTGAAATAACACAAATGTTTGGACAAACACTAGTCAACATCCTATCAAAAACTTCAAATTTTAAAAAGCTTGTGTTCTAAGTCTATTGATCTACATATGTTTCCATTCCGTTTGTTTCTATTTGGATTCTCAACTAGTAAAATATTAACCTAAACATTGCAGACAAAAAACTTATAATTTGATATAGACTATATTCTTGACCTAATATCTTCCATACTATGCAGATTTTTTCACATTTCTATTTGATACTTAACATTGCAGAGGAAAAAAAAAATCATAATTTGACTCATCATATAAATTCATAAAAAGAATGACTCCCGCATCAAACTAATAAATAAATCAATTAAGAAAAAGAAAGCCATAAATTCCTTTAAAAAATTCTATCATATAGCAATAGCATGATCAACTCATCCATGACCTCATCTGTGGTCCCAAAACAACAACAACAATTAAAAAAGTAAACGAAAAAGAAAAAGAAGTCCAAAAACCAAATTATGATCACTACTTACCAATTACATTTCTAAGTAACCAAAATATACGTTCATGAAAAAGCATTCCCTCTTTTTTATTAAGCAAAGATTTGCAACCAAACCAGCGCACTTATCACCGTAACTACAGGAAAATACAGATAATAATACTTATATATATGTGTATATATAGACCAAATTTAATTGGATTTTTGTAATAAAATCATGTACTTGTTATTACTTGGGGTTGGGGGAGCTACTTACATTGCCGGCAACAATTTCCCTATGAAGGACTTCTCCAGAATCCGGTACCGTAAAATCCATCCCACATTTCCTTCTCCACTTCAAGCACATCTTTCTCCGATGATTTCAACCGTCTCACCAGCTTGTCAGCCGCCACCGGTGTCACGTCGCCTGAAATGGAGTTCATTTGAAGGTCTGCGTGGCTCTGCCGCGTGTTCTTTATCAACGGACGGCAGCGCTTCCTCCGTAGCGCCTTGCGGCACAGGCCCGACGGCAACTTGTAGACTGCAAGAACCAGCAGGTTGACGAGGCCACATGGGCAGCAGCAGCACACCACCGCGCACTCTGCCATGGTCCCGCCCGCCACCTCCGCCCACTGCATTCGCCCTTCGCCTGAGGATGGCGACATCTTGGTCGGCAAAAAGGCTGCCGAAGGTTCTCGGACGGCAGAAGAGTCATAAAAAAGACTCCTTTCCTTCCCTCTAATTCGACAAATCAAGAAACTGCATATGTCAAAATTTCCCCCAAAATTTCAATGATTGGAAGAAAAAAAAAAAAAAAAAAAAAAAACGAAGAAAGGTGTAAAATTAGGGATAGGGTATTTGAATTTTCAATTTCTCATGGTCCGTGTTTCGATCCGATTATTCCAATTCTGATTCATCGGATTTTCAGATCTTGGTTAAATCCGAATGGTAGGTAATAGATATCCTATGATCGACGAGGATAAATTGATCGCCGGTGGAGCAAACCGGAGTTGTTGACGGTTTCTTATATTGTCAGTTTCTTACGCTTTCAGTTTCGTTCCCTCTTTCTTTATGCTATATGGTGACTGAGAAAGGGTCGAATTGAAGTACGAAGTAACTCAATAATACACATGGAGAGAGAGAGAAAGGGTTTGGAGTTTTGTGAGTGAAAATCTAGGATATGTTTTTGAGTGTTGGTAATAAGCAAATGCTGTGTTTGAATGTGAAATGAAACACGCATGAGAACAGCCTACAGCGAGGATACAGATTTGGTAGGCAGTCTAATAGGCTCCACACATGGACAAAGACAAGGGTATTCAGATAATTTAAGGAATAGCAAAAGAGTGATCCTTACAACTTACAAGTTAGACTATTTATTCACGGAGTATTTCTTGTTCCTAGCTACAAGTTAGATATAGAGGGGGCTTTAATAAAGTAGACTACTTCCGTATCATTTTAAATGACCTGTGAGTCACTTCCAAGTGAACGGTTCAAATGAAAGCGAGGGAGTAACAAAGTTACAAACTAAAACATAAATGAGATTTTGAAAGGAAAAAAACAAAAAAAACTATTTCTTTGAAACTTAATAATTTTTCCATCTCTTAATATGATTTGTTCTAAAAAAAATCTTCTACCGCAAAATTAAAAATTTATTAGAATTACTTGTTAACTGTTAAGTCACGTAAAACAAAAATAAAATGAGACCAAATTCGAGAGCTAGAACACAAAAGCGACAAAATTAATTCTCAATTAGTGGGAACTAGAACGAGAGAGCATGCGGAATGTAAGAGCGGCATCCCCATTGAGAAAGATTATGGGACTTAGGTTAAGTCCTAAAATAAAATATTACTCTTTAATTATTTATTTTTTATGTTTAATTATTTATTTTTTATGTTGCTCTTTAATTATTTATTTTTTACTTATTTATTTTATCGCTGACAAATATATATATATATATGATAATAATCTTAAATCATATAATAAGATAGAACAATCTCTTTTATCCATCCGGGCATAGCGTCAACAAATATAGCAGAAGCAAATCATATTGGCCAATGAGCTATAGATTTACACATTTGTTTTAGACCAAAATCAACCTTTCTACCAACGTACAAAATAAAAATATCAGGTGAATAACCCCAAAATAGATTCAACTAGTCCAAAATATCTAGGTGAAGAACCGAAATCAAACGGCATCGAAAATATCGGCACGGGTGTACTTTTATAATTATTTCTTTGAAAAAATAGTTGGTTAACAAAAAAACACTATAATCCATACTAGAAAGCCGGCCGCCCTAAGGTAAGCCCCAGGTCGGGAGCACAAGCTAGAGTCAATTTCAAAAAAGTACTCTGTAACATTCTTGTTATATACACACAGCCTATTCTCATTTCTCATATAGTTATAACCATTGGCTTATTCATAATTTTTTTTTTTTTTTTTTTCACAAGACAAGAAGTATTAGCAGTTAGATTAGAAGTTGTAAAGAGTGAAGCTTGGTATTCTCAAAATTCACCGAATGCATTAATTACTAGGCTATCGAGCCATCTGCATTGACTTATTCATAATAAGTTCAACAACTACCATCCATCCCGCCAAATAAAAATAAAAAATATTAATAAAACAAATCAAACAAGAAATTGGAGCAGCCTGCTGATATAAAACTATATATACATACATATACATATAGTGTGTGTGCTCTCTAAATTTGACCGGTAATTGATGCGATCCCATCTTCGGGTAATAGAGACCTAATTTAGAGTTACAAGCCTAATGAAGGAAAAGCATGATCCAGTAAAGACCTAATTAAGGTACCAGTTACATTCATTAAATTGCGTCTCTAATGAGGCTTCATTCATTGAACTTGGTAGTTAACAATTGGCACAAAAAAAAATGAGATTATATTAAATTATGGCTTTAAAGTAGTTTTTAATTTTTTTATGTTTTTTCGGAAGGTGACGTAGTTTTTATTTCCCAACGCATGAGAATTGTAATTCAATGATACATAGACAACATTAAAAACTGGATTGAAAATAAAAGAAACTAACGCACAAAAAAGTACTGTAGAAAAAGTACTTTAAAAATAGCTCGATTTAGAAAAAAAATAAAGACCAATCAACATTCTTCCAGAATTTTATTAAAGTAATTTCACATCGAAGAATCCTTTTAAGCTTTAGGTTGTTATCATGACTGATGTCATGACCTAACTTAGTGTTGGTTTTATCTGAAGTTAGTTATTTCGTAAGTTATTGTGATATTTTGTAGCTTGTGTATGTATATGATGTTAGCTATGTAAGTGCGCTTGACTGTTTTTTGCATGGGTTAAAAAAAAAAAAAGAAAAAAAAAATTCACATGGGAAAAACCCTGTTATCCAATACATGAGGTTTGGAAGGAAAATAATACAATAACTTATAAATAAAACATTCAGTTACAAAAAGTTACACATGACATTTCATTAACATGCATTATATTATTTATATATACACACATAAATCCCACTTTATTACATCCAAATGGCGTAAGGATTCAGATTCTTTAAATATTTTATTTGGCTAATCAACGATCATTACTCCTGTTAGAAAAATAACATATGAAGAGATGTAAAATTGTGTAAAATATATATCTGTATTTATGTATGGGCGAAAGCAATAATTTAAGGTCAACACACTTTAAAATATGGTAAAGTGACGTAAATTTCATGTCACTTGCGTACAGGGCTACAAAAACTTTGTCCCAAAATGAATTAAATAATCAACAGTAGAAAGTGAGAGATGATGTTACATTTCAAGAAAAACAAGCTAATTTAATTAGTTATCAACAGAAAAACAACATCCTGTTTCAATTCCCAGGATTTTATACATGTTACAAACTTACAATATTAATGGAAAATTATTTATGGAAGTTCTAGATATACAACTTTATACATTTTTAGCACCACCATCATAGCCACCACCACAGCCACCGCCACCCCAGTTCTGCCACCACCAAACAGAGGCGTTGCGCTAGCAATTAGCAAGTAGTAGAGACATTGCAGCCTAAGAGAGATTTATATTCTATGAGCCCTTTATACAGAACTTGCCTATTCAGAGGCATATGCATATTGTTGTTGGATGAACATAGATTATTATGATCATGAACCGAGTCAACGCTGGTCGCCGCCTTTCTCATGATATGTTTCTTTCGATATTCTTTGTTATTTGATGATGGCTCCATCACATCCACCGCGAAGCTCACCGTCTTCTTAGGTGATTCACCTTTCTCTGTTGATCCTATATATATATATATATATATATATGATCATTCAAACAAACATTTAATTTAATTTTTCAATCAAGAAGAGAATATAATATATATATATATATATGTAAAGAAAAGTGACATTAATTACCCAATTCAAATTCAATCTTCTTCATGAAGTCAGAGAGGAGACGCTTATGAACATGAAGTGCAAAGAGTGCTACACTTCCTGAAACTGCAAAAACTACCATCAACCCTGCCCCCATTGAGCTATCCATCTTTTTCTCTCTCTCTAGAAATAATCAAACAGTTGTGTATATATACATATTTGGGTCAAAGACTATGAAATGGAGCATTTTTTATATATAAAGATTATAAAATGAGAATCACCAATGGAATGAAAGGAAGGAAGATAAAGAAGAGGTTGCATTGGAAGAAGAAGACGAAAAAAAAGAATAAAATAAATTAATAAAAAAAAGTGAAAATGAGGAAGAATGTGATGTAGGTGTGAAAGCTGAATTACAAAATAGGAATTGTATTTTGGGCGAATGGCCCAACGACTCAGTCTTTCAAATACCATCATTCCAACATGGCATTGACTCTATGACTTTCTTCTACCCTTACAATATTACTTTTTTTTCCTTTTCTGTTTTTTAAAATTTTAGACTCAACACAATGGTTCTATTTCATTCTCTCACTTATTCATAAAATATTATTAATGGTTTTTCTTTCTTTATTAAAAATAGAAAAACCAAAAAAAAAAAAACCCTCCTTACTTAGCTGGTGTTCATCAAATGACATCTTCATCAAATGACATCCTTCAAATATGTAATTATTTTTTAGAAATTAAACATTTTTATCCAACCTTTAAAATTTTTTTTTTTAACATGACAAGAATGGGGAGGGTAGGTATGTACTCTTTTAAAATGTGCCGGAGTATGTGATTTGTAACTCACACATTCATTTTTTTAACGTGATTTGAATCATCCACCTAATATATATATATATAAAACAAAAGACACCACCAAACCAAATTATAGCCTTGAGTTATAAATTTTCTCAAATGCGCTATAATAGCAATCAAACGTTTGAAAATTAATATAAAAAGTATTCGTGTGTCAAAACAAACGGATCTATAGGTCTCTAAGCAGAGAATCACTTAAAATGAACTCAACAATATTCTAAAACTAATAAAAATATATTAAACATGATAGATTAGTTTGATTTATGTCGTGTGTGTCGGTGCGGAAAGAATTTTTTAATTAAATATAAATATTAGAGAATGGTACCCACGTTAGATATTTCAATATGAAAGTGATGACCTATGCTCTGATATAATAGCAGCAAATAAAGAAAGGAGTCCAAATAGTGCACCTGTTGCACGGGACAACTTGGTCAAAATAAAGAAAAAATAATCGGGTTTTGGTGAAACCGTGGACGTAGAAGAGTATGACCGGTCAGCCTGGGAAAGCCTTTCCAACTGTTTCTAGAATCTAGACGTAACGTATAATTTTGGATGCTGACATTCATATTACGGGTGTTCTGTTATTTGACGGTTTTAGCCTCCTCTCTCTCTCTCTCTCTCTCTCTCTCTCTCTCGTTCTCGCTCATACGGAGGAATAAAACGTAACGGCATCCAAAAAGAAGACCACCAAGAAGAGAAGTGTGGATTTCGTCGTCATGAGCGCCAAAACAAAACAATCAACCGAGGCTTTCTTTTAGACATATGGCCGGCCTCCTCTCATTTTAACAACTACGGATCCTCTCATCTATATAAGATTGGAATGCAATTTGATGCTCAAACTTTTTCTTTTTGCTTTTTTTTTTTATTATTATTATTTTATTAAAATTTTAAACTAAAAACTTGCACACTCAATTTGTTTGAAGGAAAAAATTGAAATGAATGTATCTACTTATACTATATAACTGTGTCTTTTTTGAATAACGGTTGAACTGTCATTTTTTAGTGCTACTTGGTCTAAAAACCAAATAAAATTCTCATGCTGCGGTCACATGGGTTCATTATGATTGCCTGACTTAAGAGGCAGGAAATGACTACTCAGAAATGACTACTCAAACGACCTTGTTGACTTGTTAGGAGATATTTATACTGTGATTTTTTTTTTTTTTAGGAGTTATTTATATTGTAATATTTTCATCATCATTAACTAAGGGCGGAATTATAAACTCTTGATTGTTTGAGTTTTGTCTTGTAACATAGGGGAAAAAATGAGAGATGAAGAAAAAGTCGCGGCAACCAAATGATCAATTTGAGTGCAGGCGTTAAACTAATAGGATATTCTCCGAGCCTTCTTTTCATACATATATATATATATATATATATATATATATGAAAAGAAGGCTTGGAGAATAGGATATATATATAGGAGTCTAAATATAATAATTAGAAATGTCATAGTATCACTTTATCACTTGTTAAACTATGTATCATGTTCACGCGGGGTAAATTACACTCACACTTTTCAAGGTTAAGTTATTTTTTAGTTAGATTAATATTTTAGTTTTAAATTTTATTTATATTTAAATTAATGATTTAATATTTCACTTACACCTCAAATGTCAGTTTTTGGTGAGTCGTAGGTGTTAAATGACTATGTTACCATTTGACCTCCTGTTGACTATTTTTATGACCAAACTACCCCCAACATACACTTTTCCTCTTCTTCCTCCTACTGAATTCGCCATTCCACAACCATCACCACACAGACACACAAAACCTAACTCCTTAAAATTACACACATATATATCTATCTATATATATACACATACACACATACAAAACAATAATGTGACCTGATGACAATGTTATTACTGCATATATGTATATATATATATATGAGTTAGAGGTGGCCGAGCGGGCACGGAATAGCGGCTATGAATTAGGGGTCAGCCGGATCGATTTTGGGTTTTGGATTGGAGGTGGTGGTGGCCGGGCGAGCTCGGAACGACAGCTGCAAATCAGGGGTTGGCTTGATCGATTTTGGGTTGTGGATTGGAGGTGGCGGTGGCCGAGTGAGCTCGAAACTGCGGCTGCGAATCACCGGCGACGATGGCCTCGGAGAAGAGGGAAGAACCCACCGGTGACGATGAGCTTAAAAGACGATGGCCTCTGTGATGGACCGGCGTCGATGAGTTGTGAAGAACCCACTGGCGAAGTCTTGTTGTGTGATACCCCTCGATTCTAGAGCCACGGGTGATCAAGTCCGAGCACAGATCCGAGGGATATCAAACAATTAACATGTAAACAAGCAGGAATAAAAAACTGAATTAAGAATAAATTAATAATACGCTGAAAGAAATCTAAAATAAAAAATTCTCAAACTTTAAATAATAAATTAATATCATTTAAATCCTTCAAATCCGTACAACTCGGGAATTCATCTAGCGAACCCCTAATAATTCCAACTGGTAAAATGTTTACAAAATTAAAATCCAAAATTATAAGAAAGAAAATCCTATGTAGTCGGAAGAGTGAGTGACTGTATCTGCATCACCACGATCAAGCCCTAAGCCTGGTACCCACGAACACCTGAAAAATAAAGGTGGGTCAGGCCTACATGCAAGTTCCATCCTACTACAATCCGTACATAAACCCGATACGCAGATACATCATAGATAGCTCGACAATATCTAAAACAGTCCATATATATATATATATATATATATATATATATATATATATATCATCACACCTGAGTAGAAAGTAACACGCAAAACGTCGTCGCGTCGTCATGCACACCCCGACCTACCACAGAACGTCTTTGGGTCCAGTTATCCCTCAATGCGATATACGCACCCTAACCGTGATCAGGAGACTCAAGCTCGTACCATAAGTATATATATATATAGATTCCTTCCTAATACTGAAAAGTAAAGCAAACATCCATCATGTCGTTCAACTGTCTTAGTTGACAGGACATGCATCCATGTAGGATTTAACTGTTTTAGTTAATCCATTCCTTATGTATGAAGGGGTAGGATTTAGCTTTTGATCTAATCCATCCCTGATATGTCCCCGTCCCATACCGGTACATATAATGCAAATGATCCGTGAATGATGCAACATTTTAAGCAGTTCATCAAATTATATCCACGTAATCCAAATAGTTGATATACAGAATTTAAACAGTTCATCAACTAGTAATCCAGAATCCATCCACGTAACTAACGAGACAAGGTTTAATAGTTCACCAAGTTAAAATCCAGCATCCATCTATGTAATTAACAGAAAATATATACAGTTATTTCTTCAATTAATTCCAGGCCAACATCTAATTAAATTAACAGAACCCAAATATAAGTTCAGCAACTAAAGTCCAAACTATAACCCAAGTAATTGTAGAATAGTGCTTAATATCACAGCAATTACTATCCAAGCTTAAATCCATTTATCGCATAACAGAATTTGTATTTCATCAATTAATATCCAAAGTATGCATAGATCAAACATGATATATAAATGATCTTAGCATGCTACCATAATAAAATTTATAAAGATATATATTCTCCGTTAAACAGCTGAAATTAAACTTGGACAATTAAACCCATTCCTTCCATTAACAGCTTGCACCGTTGAACTTTCCTACGATTAAATCCATGAATATAAAGACATTAATTTATCAAGTGTGGCTCTAACTTAGCATAACATTATGCTTAAATTCCATGCTACAATCCGTTAAATTTTAAAAACAAGATTTAGCAATTTAGTCCGTCATATCCGTTAGCAGCGTACAAAGTTGCTTATTCTTACCCTTTTTATTCCAATTGCCTTATAGACCAAATTATACAATTAGATGGATTAAAATCCATTGTAATTACTTTTAGAATTCTCATTCCAGTCCCTGAAACAATTTAAAATCTCAAATAGTGCCCAAACAGAGCCCAAACTGTGTCCAAACCACGTCCAAACATCACCCAACCAAGGGAGCCTGCTCTAAAATCAAAGAGCAGGCTCTTTGCTACTTAGAGCCGGCTCCCTAACCCTTTGGAGCCTGCTCTTTGAAGGGGGAGACGGCTCCCACAAATCTAGAGCCTTCTCTCTCCCACTTTGAGCCTTCTCTACTCCTCTGCTTCACCTCTCTGCTACTGGTGACCTCCAAGCTTCAGTTCTGAATTTTTTTTTTAAGTTTCATGGTTCATTCAGAGTCTAAACAACCCTAGGAACCCCTCATATTCCAGTGTCAACAAATTGACAAAAATCAAAACCAAACACAACATAGTTTAAATAAGAAACAAATTTCAGTTCTTTAGACACAACAAACTTTACAGTCTAATAATCTTGTATCAAATTTTCGTTTTTAAGTTTCTAGTGTTAAATTATAGTCCAAACCATCCTAGAAACTCCTTGGATTCCCTTACGAATTAATTTACAAAAGTTTAAAACCAAAATCAACATAGGTTTAAGCAATAAACCAATTTCAATACTTTTAACCAAAACAGATTACCGTCTCGTATAATATACATCAACCACCATGTTTTAACAGTTGATTTAAATCCCTAGAGACTATAAAGAATGCACAGAACACAAGTTTACAAGAAAGGAATAGAATGAAACTTACCTTTAGATTTCGTTTTGAAACCTTACAGCAGTATCGTCTCTAAGTTTCAGAATTCTCTTAGACTGGTCCCTCCTCTGA